GCCAGTTGAATGATCTGCGCGCCGGTGTCGACCACATTACCAACGAGAAGGTATTGAAATTGATCTCTATATATGCGTATATTGCTCTCAACGCGATGCTGTAAATTTAAATGCTGAAAGTTCTAGTTTTTCCAAGTCTCAACATCTGTGTATAGTATCAACGTAGTTGCAACCAGCAACCAGACCGAAATATCCCTCGAAAAATATTATGTAAAAAAAAACTAAAACGACCCACCTCCACCTCTAAAGTAATATCCACGCTTGATCTACTAATTCCATGCCTTGTACAGCACCTCACACGAAACCAAAATGCCACACTTTCAACCGAGAAAAGTACCCCCTGACGAGCCGAGACTAATGAAACCATTTTCCCAAACAACCATTTTCCAAACAGGCTGCCCAGGAGAAGATCGCCAAGCAGCTGCAGCACACCCTCAACGAGGTGCAGTCTAAATGGATGAGACCAACAGGACTCTGAACGACTTCGATGCCAGCAAGAAGAAGCTGTCCATTGAGAACTCCGATCTGCTCCGCCAGCTGGAGGAGGCGGAGTCCCAGGTGTCTCAGCTGTCCAAGATCAAGATCTCTCTGACCACCCAGTTGGAGGACACCAAGCGTCTGGCCGATGAGGAGTCGCGCGAGCGCGCCACCCTCCTGGGCAAGTTCCGCAACTTGGAGCACGACCTGGACAATCTGCGCGAGCAGGTTGAGGAGGAGGCTGAGGGCAAGGCCGATCTGCAGCGCCAGCTGTCCAAGGCTAACGCTGAGTCCCAGGTGTGGCGCAGCAAGTACGAGTCCGATGGCGTCGCCCGCTCTGAGGAGCTGGAGGAGGCCAAGAGGAAGCTGCAGGCCCGTCTGGCTGAGGCTGAGGAGACCATTGAGTCGCTCAACCAGAAGTGCATTGGCCTGGAGAAGACCAAGCAGCGCCTGTCCACTGAAGTGGAGGATCTGCAGCTGGAGGTGGACCGTGCCAACGCCATTGCCAACGCTGCCGAGAAGAAGCAGAAGGCCTTCGACAAGATCATCGGCGAGTGGAAGCTCAAGGTCGACGATCTGGCCGCCGAGCTGGATGCCTCCCAGAAGGAGTGCCGCAACTACTCCACCGAGTTGTTCCGTCTTAAGGGCGCCTACGAGGAGGGCCAGGAGCAGCTGGAGGCTGTGCGTCGTGAGAACAAGAATCTGGCTGATGAGGTCAAGGACCTGCTCGACCAGATCGGTGAGGGTGGCCGCAACATCCATGAGATCGAGAAGGCCCGCAAGCGCCTGGAGGCTGAGAAGGACGAGCTCCAGGCTGCCCTTGAGGAGGCTGAGGCCGCTCTTGAGCAGGAGGAGAACAAGGTGCTCCGCGCCCAGCTGGAGCTGTCCCAGGTGCGCCAGGAAATCGACCGCCGCATCCAGGAGAAGGAAGAGGAGTTCGAGAACACCCGCAAGAACCACCAGCGTGCCCTCGACTCCATGCAAGCCTCCCTCGAGGCTGAGGCCAAGGGCAAGGCTGAGGCCCTGCGCATGAAGAAGAAGCTGGAGGCTGACATCAACGAGCTGGAGATTGCTCTGGATCACGCCAACAAGGTGGGTTCATCTTATAAAAGCTTCATAACCAAGGATCTTTAATCTAAATCGCATCCTTTTTTTATGATTTTATCCCACTTTAGGCTAACGCCGAGGCCCAGAAGAACATCAAGCGTTACCAGCAGCAGTTGAAGGACATCCAGACTGCCCTCGAGGAGGAGCAGCGCGCCCGCGACGATGCCCGCGAACAGCTGGGTATCTCCGAGCGTCGTGCCAACGCTCTCCAGAACGAACTGGAGGAGTCGCGCACTCTGCTGGAGCAGGCCGACCGCGGCCGTCGCCAGGCCGAGCAGGAGCTGGCCGATGCCCACGAGCAGTTGAACGAGGTTTCCGCCCAGAACGCCTCCATCTCCGCTGCCAAGAGGAAGCTGGAGTCCGAGCTGCAGACCCTGCACTCCGACCTGGACGAGCTCCTCAACGAAGCCAAGAACTCCGAGGAGAAGGCCAAGAAGGCTATGGTCGATGCCGCCCGCCTGGCCGATGAGCTCCGCGCTGAGCAGGATCATGCCCAGACCAGGAGAAATTGAGGAAGGCCCTTGAGCAGCAGATCAAGGAACTGCAGGTCCGTCTGGACGAGGCTGAGGCCAACGCCCTGAAGGGAGGCAAGAAGGCCATCCAGAAGCTGGAGCAGCGCGTCCGCGAGCTCGAGAACGAGCTGGATGGTGAGCAGAGGAGACACGCCGATGCCCAGAAGAACTTGCGCAAGTCCGAGCGTCGCGTCAAGGAGCTGAGCTTCCAGTCCGAGGAGGACCGCAAGAACCACGAGCGCATGCAGGATCTGGTCGACAAGCTGCAACAGAAGATCAAGACATACAAGAGGCAGATCGAGGAGGCCGAGGAGATCGCCGCCCTCAACCTGGCCAAATTCCGCAAGGCTCAGCAGGAGCTGGAGGAGGCCGAGGAGCGTGCCGATCTGGCCGAGCAGGCCATCAGCAAATTCCGCGCCAAGGGACGTGCCGGTTCTGTCGGTCGTGGTGCCAGCCCAGCGGTAAGTCCTTAGAGTTTTCCCATCTACCCTTCATTACCCTTCCCCTCGACCCCTTAAGATACTCCCCGATTTCCTTTGCGGAAACAAAAGGAAATGAAAAAGAAAAACCCCTTGAACCCTCGAACCTTTCACTCAAAACACACAGAGCCTCCATTTTGCTGCAAAAGCCATATTATCACTCTCGCTCACGATCTCGTCTGATCAGATTTTTTGAATAATGTGTATATTCTTCCCTTTCATATATGATCTCTCCGCTTACCACAAAAAAAAAAATCAGATCTAAATCTGAGGCACTACAACCAAGTGAAAAAAATCTATATAGCGATCCAATTATGGTTCAATTACGATAATGAGAGAACAAAACCATGCAAAGAGAATTATAGCTTATAAGAATTATTATAAAATAAATACTAATAACAATAATATAGATGCATCATACGACATTCGCTAGCAGAAAAAAAAATGCAAAAATTAGTGGCCACCCAAATCAAATCAAATCAGAAATTGAAGGATCAAATCATCGAATACCAACCAAAAATGCGTTCATTTTGACAGAAAATCAAACGAAAAGCAAGAAAAAAAGCAAAAGCAATAAAAAATAAATAAACAAGCAAGCAAGCAACCAACAAGCAAAGTAGCACAAGGCTAAATCAATCGAATTGCTTTCTCTACAACCATTTACAAAATCAATACTATTCTTCCACTATATTATTATAAACTGTATTTGTACATGTGTACTGCAGCCGACAGCGTCAAAGGGCCGCAAGAGCGCGCTGCTGGAGCAGTAGAAACTTTCTTGAAACATTTGTAAGTGGGACGTGTGTGTGCACGTCTTGACCCGTTCTTGTTGTGTCGGAACTATACCCCACCACTTCCTCTCACACATGCACCGGAAACTACTACTTAGTCAGTCAGCTCATCTCGTTGTCTCGCTCGTTATCGATCGAAATCATTCGTTACATATTGTCGTATCGTTATTGTCCTGTCTCATTCGACACTAGTCTACCCCCAGTATGACACACACACTCGTTATCTCGAGGAGCATTTACGTACGCTCACTTCGTACCTTGGTTATCGTTATTTCACCTTCGCTCTCGCTAGCACGGAGCAAGGATTTCTCGTTATCGTTTCTCGTTATCCCGATCAGTCAGTCAACCCAATTCGGTGACTTGTCCCAACCCCAGCATGTTTATACTTCATAATCATGAGTGACATTTAACTAAACTAACTTTATTTCTCTACTTCTAATCCACAGCCCCGTGCGACGTCCGTTAGGCCACAATTCGACGGATTGGCCTTCCCACCAAGATTCGACCTTGCTCCTGAAAACGAATTCTAAATGCCATTTCATTTTTTAATTTATTTTAAATGATATTTCATAATGATTATGTTTATGATTTTAATTTAATTTCTTAATTTAAAAACAAAATAATAAAACTATAACAAAATATATATCGAAAACGACGGGAGGCAAACCACCATCAACAACAACGCCAAATGCACTTAGGCAAAAAGAAAAACAAAACAAAAAAAACTAAATAACATCGAATCGATTAGCATCGATTAGCATACATAAGTGAAATGTGTAGCATCCACCGAATTTATCAGGCTTTTGTGTAAGCGCGACATTTCCCACGGGGACGCTGCTCGCGAGACCTGTATTGTATTTGTATTTATATATTTTTATACAACTTTCGAAATGCATTCAACCACCACCAACCAACTAACTATCAAAGAACCATCGAATCTCGAGACACCACCATGAGAAAGATCGCGAATTGAGAGAGCCCCGTCAAAGTGAAGGCCCTGCGACGGCGTCCACCATTGGTAAATGTCGCCCGCTGTTCGAATCTTTGTTCTATATGTATTCGCAAAAATATATATTTGTCGTACAGATCGGACAAGACTCACGGACGACACGAGCTATACACTGCGCCTATGTTTATGTTTAAATTTTGATTCAATCAATCAATGATAATGAGATAAGATCATCACTCGACACTAAATGAAAAGTATACAAAAAAGGAACAAAATAAATGTAAATCAATTAAAAAAAAATCAATTGTATTTTATTTATTAATTTACGGGTGGTGCAACATTATAGTAAAATATCATTACAGAACCCCATATAGGTTCTCTCTGATATTTACTCCTTCCTTCAGTGATCTATCAAGGATATTGGTCCATGTACATATATGTATTGTAAACTTGAGCTTATTTAGTCTTTAAAATCAAAAGAAGGATTTACGGACGCTGGATGATCCGCTGTTCATATATAGAATAATAAGCATATATACATTTTTTAATGAGATATACTCAACTGTTAAATAACAATATACATTTTGTAGGAAAATCGTATTTCAAAGAACAGAGAAAGCAATGCGTAAAACTTCATTGTAGTCCATCCCTTCCTTTCTATTTAGAAACACAACCCGGTAAGGAATTTTATTTTATTTAAATACTATTCTTAACAAGCCTCAACAAAAGCCAAAATTATCGTTAGTGAATTTATGTTTAGCTTTTAATACTTCTACACACCGGTGGATCTGAAGAGGGCTTTAGTGCCGGAAAACAAAATGGCTAGCCAAAAGAATCGGGTCCTTACTTGCCGATGCAGAACATGTCATGGCCCCAATCGGTCGTTTCCGGCGACAAACAGCGCTCCTTGGGGTTCCCCGAGAGGGAATCAACAATTACACAGTCCACAACCTGGCATTCGGATACCAGTAAGTGGGTCTTAAGCAACTTTATGCTAAACGCCTGGCGTCAGAGGCGAGAAGAGGTACGAGATCTGCAGCAGGTGGTCCAGGGTCTTCAGAATAGCGTGAGTAGATAGATAAATCTCCTTAGGAACCGAAAGTAATGTAAATTGAACACGTAGACCATGAAGACTAACAACGAACTGCATGTTTTGAACACGGTAATGCGAGTGGAGAAAAAACGAAACACCGAACTCCAAATGCAGTTGAAGGAGTCTCACATGAGTATCACCAAAGTCCGAACCTCCTGCGATTCTCTGACCAGTTCGCTTCAAAGCCTTACAGCTGAAAAAGATGAGCTGTGTAAGGAACTAACAAATCCAGGCAGGAGGTAAGCTTGAGAAGTGAAACTTAAAGAAATATATACATATAATAAACATTGCCGAATAGCTAAAAGATCTTGAAGAGATTTCCGGCCAAACCAAAAAGGAACTTTTTGGAGCCCTGGCGGAGCAGCGCAATCTGCAAAAACAATTGTCCGATGAGCAGCGATCAAGACATGAACTGCAGCTGGATAACGAAGAACTTCTCAAAAGGATCATTATGGCCGACTGCAAGGAATCCCAGTACAAAAAGGCCAAGGAGGAGGCCCAAAAGGAACTGGCTGAAAGGGATGAAAAAATCCAAACTCTAAAGGCAGCACTCGAGGAGAAGCAACGGAATGGCACAGAGTAAGTTAATTATGCAAATTTTATTACGCATACGCACTGTTGTACATATGCTATAACTTTAAGTAAAATTTAATTAATTAAAATTTAATTTAATTTATTTAAATTTCATTTAATATTGATTTCCATTTAGGCAAGCCGCCGAGCTGGAACGCATTAGGGCCCAGATCACGGAACTTTGCCAAAGGAACACCAGGTCCAACTTTTTGTGTTTCTGTTCGGAATCCATCAGTCGATTGAGTCTGACTCCTCGGTCAAACCAGGAAGTGTCAATCATTCAAAGATATGGTGTCATCTATCCACTATGGCAAAAGTTTCACATGTTTTCCAGCAATCTAATTTACCTGATTTTAAATTTCCTTCGCCCTAATGTCAATACAAGAGGTAGTCCTTCCCTGGTGTAGGTAAACATCATTCCTAGATTAATCTTAATGATACTTCTCGTATTATATTTAATATTTGTTTTAGGATTTCGAAGCTGAAATTACCATAAAGTATTGACTGCTGATTTTAAAATCGCCAAATGACCGAAAGGAAAACAATGAATAAAATACCCAAATGGGGTTTTAGGCGTCACCAAACACCCGGAGCGAATGTAATGGATAGAAATGAAGTTAACTTTGATTTTAAAACATGGATACAATTTGTAACATTGTTGAAATTTTTGAAAAGTGCAAACCCGTTTAGAATCTAGAAAACTATTGGAATTGACAAAAGAAAATAATATATGGAAATTTTTACATATAATCATCTCTATTATTCATTTTAATTCAATTGTATAAAAATTCACAATTAAATTACATAAGACTCATGAAAAGGTAATGATTTATCCACAGGCATAAACCTCCTTTTTAATGATACTGATCTTCTCAATTCAAATGCTTCAGTTATTAGTAAAAACTAGAAAGAGTATGTATTTATTTATTAATTTTTACATTGACCCCCTGACTAAGTATGTCTTATTTTCCCGCTCCTGGAGCCCTGGGATTGGGCTCGATGCGCAGCAGTTGCTTATGCTGACCGATCATGTGCTCAATGTGGTTGCATTCGCGCAGCTGACCCTTGAACTCGTCCAGAGTCTCATACAACACCGGATAGAGAGCTGGGAGCAGTCCGTGGTCCAGCGTGGGGAAGAGTGATGAAGTACATGGTCACCAAAGTGGGTGAGCACCAGGAATTGCGATCCCTTGAGATCTCCGCGATCAATGATCGTGTCCACCTGGAAGAGGCCCCAGTCCCGATCCTCCCGATTGGCATCGCCCTCGTGGTAGATCTCCGGGTCATGATGCGCCGCATTCAAACCGATCAAGCAAAAGCTAAAGCTAGCAATCGACGTCATCGCTAGCCAAGTGCGAACGCAAATCCAAAGGCCGAGAGATCCGCCTGTCCCCAGATAGATGGCTGCCGGAATGCTCAGCGGCAACAGGTCGTGCCAGTACAAGATGTTCGTGTGGCGCAGTGAGTAGAAAATACTGCAAAATTAAATATAATCTCAGATTAGGAATGGATTACGTCGACAGTCAGTCAGTCAGTCACTCACCGTGTGCCTATCTGTATGAAGAAGGCCAGGGCATAGGCCACCGGCTCCGTCACCCAGGACACGTAGCGCATGATCTTGCTCTTGATGTGCGGATTTGGAACCCAGCACAGCAGCGGTTCGAACATGGACAGCTCCAGATCGAAGTAGGAGTTGGGATAAATATGATGCGACAGAGCATGGGATACTCGCCAGGCGGCAAAGTTCATCAGTCCCAGGTTAAAGGCATACATCTGCCAGTTGTCCCGACGATGGAAGTAGTTGTGGGACACGATCACAGTCCAGCAAAGGGAAACACCAGCCAGGATCAGAGCCAAAATGCTATTGAACTTGACACTGGCGATGCCAAAGATGTAGAGTGCAACTATCAAGCCAAAGTGGATCAACTGTAAGGGATAAATAACACTGGTTATTATACTAAATATCTTACTTCAAGATCACATTTCATTAAGCATAAAATTTCTTGAACTCATACAAAATTTTTTAATTTAAAAAAGCCCTTTGATTGTCATATCAGTAATAAAATATTATTACAACGCTCTGACAGGTGAAATATAAATCAGCTATTTATTTATATATTATGCTTCTGGCGCCGTGAGTCTTTTAGCTCCTTTTATCAATATGTAACTGATAAGAAATATAAAACTGATATGGGAAAAATATTAATTACGACACACTGTCAGCTACTATTTTTTTGGATTTCTATTCCTTCAGAAAAAACTATCTAGATCAAGATTTAATATTTTATTCAACACTCACGTCACTCTTCTTTTTTGGACTCTTGTCGACCGTCTTCAGCTTTTCGCGCACTCGCTCCTTGAGGGTCTTGTAGAAGCCTCCTTCCTCGAGGGTCAAAGTGTAGATCCTGGGCTCCGCAGCATCCCGCACTTTGTACTTGGCAATCATCTTCTCAGGAGCCGTTGTCAGATGATGAGCCTCAAAGGCTTCAGTGATATCGGTGCCCTTGGTTTCGCGTATCCAGAAAGGACCGCCAGGATGCTTATCTATGAACTCGGTAAAGTCGTAGATGCCATCATAGATGCGCCAGAGTCCTTCGGCGCAATCGTCCTCCCGTTTGCCCTTCTGCCAGCTGTGAGTGGTAATTAGCGGCGAGTTGCGATAGGTGGGAAATTTGGTGGCAATGCCGCTTTTCTTCCACTCCTCGATGACCATTGTCCTGTGGTTCTTAGATCCTAAGATCCTTGGCAAACACTTTCAAGATCCAGCTACCGATCAGCTGCGCTGCCCGAAATAAACTAAATGGAATCAGCATTCGTCTGTCAGTTTTATGCGCCGCAAGATTATATAAACCGAAAATTGATTCGTAGTTACAGACGAAACGTTTCCATTTTGATAAGATGTCTCTCTGCCTTATCAGCGTCGCGCGGTGGGGGCACAGCTGCCGTCTCGGAAATATAGGGTCTGTTTTGTTTTGTATTAGAACTTTTTTTTCACACATTTTTTACTATCACAATTTCAAGAGGTGAAATCTCAGTGTGGGCACGGACTCGCTCCAGACTTTGCCGGCTACAATAGGCCAGTGGTGGTGGTCCTAAACATTTGATTGGATCACAGAAATTTGAGGCTTCGCTTGGCTGGCACGAGTCTAGCCAAAAGCTATCGCAGATGGTTGTTGGGGGTAGTCAGGGATCGTTTATAATCTAATCATTTCGGAACTTATGGAATTATTATGCTTTGTGATGTAAGGAAATACAGGGTTCCCAAAGAGTAAAGAAAAATATAAGTCTGCTTATACTAAGCATAGATTTTTAAGTGAGTAAAATAAATATGCTAACATTGTTAACCTGAACCCGCTATTTTCAAGTTAGATTATTGTAATAGCATTCAAGAAAATTGCATTCATATTGCCAAAAGCCTCAGTTGCAATGTTCTATTTAATATGAGTTAAAGTTTAGGTTTAGTTAATCCTAAGACACGAAAAGGGTTCTAAAGATTAAGTAAACTTGGTTGTTAAAGCTCACTTAGATACGTTTGTATATTGCTATTAATTCTATGCACCCAGGGCTCTCCATAAGAAACCCGGCTTAATGATAACAACAACGTGATTTGAATACCATTTCCATAGTATATTTCACTTCCACTCCATCCATGATAGTGAATAGTGAGAGAGACTGCATATAAAGCTCTCGATTAATTATACTCTCAGTCTCAGAGCTTTTCTAATTGATCGTGAGAGGTGTGTTTTACGAAAACAAAAGTCGAGCGCCGCTCCAAATAAAAGTTTAGTAGCCAGCACTTCGTAAACAAACTCGGTGGTCTGTCTTCGCTGGGGTGCTCAGAGTGACCGGTTTTCCCAGAGTGAGTATTAAGTTGAACTTGGGAATCAATAGGCAAAAGTTATCAACATTTCCTATACCTATAATTAACTCCAACTATCTTGATACAGATTATGGCACCCAATGTGAAGGAAGATGCCTGGAAAGTGTCCGGAATATCTAGGACTTATCCGAGTTACCGCCAGCATATGCCCGTAACGGGTGAAAGGTCTGTAGCTAATTAACATATGTATATTAACCAACCCCAAACGAATCGTATAAGAACAAAAACCTATTAAAGCTGGCTGAGGGTAAAAATGCGGACGATGAAGCTGAAGGTCTTTGGCGGATTAACGATAAGCTCTACGACTTAGCGGACTTTGCCGCTCGGCATCCGGGTGGCGATTTCTGGATTAAGTCCACCAGGGGCACGGACATCACCGAACCCTTTGAGTCGCATCACATCGAGGAGCGAGCCCGGGAAATGCTCAGTAAATTCGAGGTGCGAAAGGCGTCGAAGCCACGGAACTACAAGTTCACACTGAAGGATGATGGATTCTACATGACCCTGAAGCGGCGAGTGCGTGAAAAGCTAAGGAAACTGGATTACTCACCCACCAAAAAACAGAGGTAGGTTTATTACTTAACTCAATCTGGAAGATATTCTGCATAAACGTTTTTATGACTTTGAGATACTTGTTACTACGTTTCTAAAATCTGTCTTTTATTGTGATATTAAATCATGATTCTACATTGAATTAATATGTATTAATTTGTTATTTAAGACAAAGTCTAAGACTGATTAAATGTTTGTAAAATGTTTAATTTTATACATAAGTTTGATAAGCGAGTTGAAGCCATTATGATAATCAAGAATGTCTATCTTTGTATGGCTTCTAAAGGCTGTAAAAACGTATATGGATTCGATTTATTATATTTAAAGACAGTTTGTTTATAGTAAATTAATTAATTTTTCATCTAAAGATCTGTAATCTATCTTTTATCTGTATCTATATATCATTCTCTGAATTATTTCGCTTTAAAGATAATCCCTGCAATTTTAACTCTCTTAACCCATATATGTATTTCAGTTTCTGCACTTGGGCATCTTGATCTCTGTGTTCTTGTTAGTTGGGCCGGCACAATTCTGGATTCCTTGGTCATCCGATCTCTGGCTGGGTTGGCTCTCTCCTGGGTGGCCACCTCCGCACACAATTACTTCCATCAGCGGGATAACTGGCGGATGTACACCTTTAATCTGACACTCATGAACTTTCGAAACTGGCGCATTTCGCATGCCCTATCGCACCATGTGTATGCGAATTCCCTCCATGATCTGGAGATGTCCATGTTTGAGCCCTTTTTATGCTGGATTCCCGATCGCAATACGCCAGTAAAATGCAACGATGGATCTCAGTAGTGATCTCGCCGGTGGTCTTTTTAGTCTTTTCCATGTACAAATTATACAACGGTGAGTGGTAGTAATTATTCCTTAAATACACAAGAAATAACATTTATTTCTTTTTTAGTTTGGTTGTCTCCCTGGTCAAACGGAATTTAATGTACTGGGATGATCTAATAGGTCTTATTTTACCGGTATTTCTCTATTTGTCCACTGGAGTGGGCCTAAAAGCCTCTTTAGTCAGCTGGCAGATCATCGTAGTCATCGGTAGTTTTATTTTCGGTTTCGTGGGTCTTACTGCAGCCCATCATGATCCCCAGATCCTGCACGATGGCGATACCCCACGTAAGGACTTTGATTGGGGTCTATATCAGCTGGACACCATTATCGATCGTGGGACATAAGTGGTCTGATCTTTTGGTGCTAACCCACTTTGGGGAACATGCACTGCATCATCTATTTCCCACCCTTGATCATGGTGTGCTTAAGCATCTCTATCCAGAACTGAGGCAAACGATAAAAGAGTTTGATGTTGAATTGCGGGAGATCAATCATTGGGGTCACATCAAGGGTCAGAATCAGCAATTGCTGAGAGTACATAAGAATCCCTGCCACCGGGAAGCAAGAAGTCGATGTAGGGTAAAGTCAAAGGTAGTCTGTAAATAAATTAATATTCTAAATAACCTGGTTTGGGGTTCTTTATAAATGATTGTAGTATAAAATAACAAGCTATAATTAGAAAATTAACTAAATTCAACCGTTTCTTTACTCTTATATTTTTCTGTTTAAAACAAACACTCTCTTCACCTTTTTTTACTCTTTCTTCTCACTTAAAGTCTTTTGAGCATTTCCGGTTTTTATGGTGTTTGTTATGATATCTTATAAGATGTGTTTTTGTAGCTTGCTTTTATCAGCTTTTAATGGCTATCAAATGTTTCTTGACTCATAAACGCTCTTTGTAGGTGAGAGTTCAGCGGGTACCAAATAAACCTGATTATTTTTTAAATACCGCCATATAAATGTTTGACTGCCTCTTTAAGAGATATGGTCAAGTAACGTTATATATATTTGCTGAATCACTGTGACCAGGCGATGGGGAAACTAATCTTTAAATTGATTTAAAATTTTATTGTTTGGGTGCTTAGGAGCTTTAAGAAAACATGAAGCAGGGAAAAATAACGTAAATAAATTATTACGGAACTATAAATATCGTTAAATGGTGTAAATATTTTAAAATAGTTATTGATAAAAATTTTAAATGTAAAGTAATAGCAAATATATAAATTAAAATATATTTTGTTGTGTATCTTTTTTTTAGATATGTTTTCAAATATATTCCTATCAAACATGGAGATAAAAATTACGACTATTGGCCATACATAAATTACATATTTTATTAATAGTTTCTGCTTAAACAACGCTTTTAAATATAGGTTTATATATGTATGTATGTATATGTATACAATAGTTGCCCTGCGTTTACTATCGGTTCTCTTCTACTACTTGGACATCACTAGTGAACGGTAATATTGCTCTCATCTAGACAAAGCTTCTCTTAAACATGTTTCTCTTTTATTTTCTCATAAACATTCTATATTGTAATATTTCGTGGCTAGACTAAGCCATTAATCTCTTTCAGATTTGATTGGGTTGTTACTCTAAAGAGAAATTAGATAAGAGTAAAGGTTAATTTCAACAAAGAATGATAAGCCAACCGCTGAAGGGTCAAGTTGATCTATAAAACCTTGCTGTAAAGCAGTTTCTCCTCAGTTTATAGTTTTCTAATAGCCAGAGAAGTCACGTCAAAAGCTAGAAAAATGTTGCCGACTCGCCGCTCCGTGTTTCTGTTACTACTCGCGTTAGTAGTTTCTTCCCAAGGAGCCAATATTCTGGGTCTCTTCAGCAGCACAGTCAATCCCATCTGATCATCCATATGTCGGTGGCCAAAACTCTGGCCGAGGCTGGACACAATGTGACAGTGGTGGCCATGATGCAACCAAAAGTAATGCACAAGGATATTCATCTCATTGTAATACCTGTGACGGAGGAGCAGGAGCGCATTCTGGATGAGCAACTAACCACCATGGCGGGTCAGAAGAACTCAGCGATAAGCTTTGTGATTAGTCTCATGAGCGGAACGGATGTGATGATACAAGCCCAGGCTGACCTGCTCTCCCACCCAAGTTTTCAGCGTATCTACGAGACCAAGTTTGATCTAATGATCATGGGTTACTTCTTCAATGACTTCCAGCTCGGAGTTGCGAATAAGTTGAAGGTTCCCGTGGTTATTGACTGGATGACAGCTTCAATGCCCCTAACAGACGATATGACGGGTAATCCCTCCGAGCTCTCCTATGTGCCCAATGTAGCAACTTCTGCAACACAGCCCATGAGTTTATTGAAGCGAGCAGAGAATTTGGTTAAGCATCTGTTTTTTAAATACATGCAACAGTCTTTGATAATAATATGAACCGCTATATAAAGACATTTTTGGTGGAGGCAAAAATCTGCCGACTTTAAATGAGCTGAAGAGAAATATATCCATGATCTTTGTCAACTGCCATTTGATCAGCGAAGGACCCATTCGACCCATGGTGCCAGGACTGGTCGAGATTGGAGGTATTCAAGTAAAGGATAAAGCGGATCCCTTGCCCAAGATATTGATGAGTTTTTGTCCAAATCTTCCCAAGGAGCTATTCTTCTCTCCCTTGGTTCTAAAATTAAGAGCTCAGTTGTAAAACCAGAAATTGTTCAGATCATTTTAAAGTACTTTCTGGCTTGAAACAGAACGTGATATGGAAGTGGGAGGATCTAGAGAATACACCTGGAAACGCCCCGAATATTCTCTACAAGAAGTGGCTACCCCAAGACGATATCCTGGCCCATCCTAACACCAAACTCTTCATCACACATGCCGGAAAGGGAGGTATCACCGAGTCCCAGTACCACGGAGTGCCTATGGTAGCCCTGCCTATTTATGGGGATCAACCTGGAAATGCCGAGGTCATGCAAAACGCAGGCTATGGCCTATCCCTTGACCTGCTCACGATTACTGAGAAAAGCCTTGGAGAGGCACTTAAAGAAGTCCTGGAAAATGGGAAGTACTCTCAAGCTGTCGGCAAGTTCTCCTCGCTCTACAGGGATCGACCGATGACCGCCAAGCAATCTGTTCTTTACTGGACGGAGTACATCCTGAGACATCATGGAGCTCTACATATTCAGAGTCCTGCAGTGCACATGAATTTGTTGAACTTTACAACCTGGATCTTTATGCTTTGTTGTTCTCAATCCTTATCTTGATAATGTTTATTCTTCGTTTATTTGTGAAAGCCGTTTGGAGGAAATTAAAGAGCAAAATGAACCATTCAAATAAACTAAAGAAACATTAAATTTGTACTGTTGTAAAATTTTATTAAACATTTATATTAAAACAATTTATGGTAACAAATAATAAAAAAGTTAAGAATGTCGGTGTAAAATTTCAAAAGATAACAAAAGGGTTTTAATAAAATAATGCCTTATTCGCGAGTTGCTTAGTGTTTTAAAATAGAACTAAAACTAGCCTGTTATAATTTTGAGATATCAAATAAAACTGTTAAACATAGGTACATTTTAGACATGGTTTTGAATGTTACTACCACATAGTTATAAAGAGTTGAATTTGTCCTCAAAGAGTAGAAAGATAAGAGATTGCTCAATATCAAAGAGAGTCGATAAGCGGATGACTACCCTATGGTGAAATTCCCGTATATCCAGACCCATACACATTCCTGCCAGTCTCTTATTCGCGTTTAGTGGAGAAGTTATTAAAAATTTAGTAAAATGTCGGCATTCGCTCCGTGTATTTGTTGCTACTCGCGGTAGTAGCTTCTACCCAAGGAGCCAATATTCTGGGACTCTTCAGCAGCCACAGTCAATCCCATCTGATCATCCATATGTCGGTGGCCAAGACACTGGCCGAGGCTGGACACAATGTGACAGTGGTGGCCATGATGCAACCAAAAGTGATGCACAAGGACATCCATCTGATAGTGGTTCCGGTGACGGAGGAGCAGGAGCGCATATTGGATGAACAACTGACCACCATGGTGGGTCAAAAGAACTCTATAATAAGTACTGTGAGCAGACTCCTCAGCGGAATGGATGTGATGGTAAAAGCCCAGGCTGACCTTCTCTCCCACCCAAGTTTCCAGCGTATCTACGAGACCAAGTTCGATCTAATGATCATGGGTTACTTCCTCAATGACTTCCAGTTGGGAGTTGCAAATAAGTTGAAGGTTCCGGTCATCATTGACTGGATGTCTCGGGCCATTCCCCTAATTGACGATTTTACCGGAATCCCTCAGAACTGTCTTATGTTCCCAACTTAGCCACCTTTGCCACGCAACCCATGAGTTTATTAAAGGAGCTGAGAATCTGGGTAAACAATTGGCTATTAGATACCTGGGTATAATATTTGATGCAAAACTTAATCGTATTTATAATGGCATTTTTGGAGAAGAACAACAGTTACCGACTATAAGTCAGCTAAGAAAAAATATATCCATGGTCTTCGTCAACAGTCACATGATTAGTGAAGGACCCATTCGACCCATGGTGCCAGGACTGGTCGAGATCGGCGGGATACAAGTGAAGGACAAAGCGGATCCCTTGCCCAAGGATATTGATGAGTTTTTGACCCAGTCTTCCCAAGGAGCTGTTCTCCTATCCCTCGGTTCCAATGTCAAGGGCTCTACAGTTAAACCAGAAATTGTTCAGACCATTTTTAAAGTACTTTCTGGCTTGAAACAGAACGTGATCTGGAAGTGGGAGGATTTGGAAAATACACCTGGAAACGCCCCGAATATTCTCTACAAGAAGTGGCTACCCCAAGACGATATCCTGGCCCATCCTAACACCAAGATCTTTATCACACATGCCGGAAAGGGAGGCATAACGAGTCTCAGTACCACGGAGTGCCAATGGTGGCTCTTCCCATTTTTGCGGATCAACCAGGAAACGCCGAGGTCATGCAAAACGCAGGATATGGTTATCCCTTGACCTGCTCACGATTACTGAGCAGAGCCTTGGAGATGCACTAAAAGAAGTCCTGGAAACGAGAAGTACTCTCAAGCTGTGGGGAAGTTCTCCTCGCTCTACAGGGATCGACCGATGACCGCTAAGCAATCTGTTCTTTACTGGACGGAGTACATCCTGAGACATCATGGAGCTCCACATATTCAGAGTCCTGCAGTGCATATGAACTTTGTTGAACTTTACAACCTGGATCTTTACTGTCTGCTATTGTCAATCCTTATCCTGATATTGTTCATTATTCGTCTTTTTGTGAAAGCTGTTTGGAGTAAATTAAAGAGCAAGAAGAACATTCTAAGAAACTAAAGAAACATTAAATTTGTAATGATATTCATAAGCATTTTTATAAAACACGAATAGCTACAAATAATAAAGAGTTAAATACTTGCTGACGAAAGTACTTTACTTTATTTATTCTTTCGATTGATTATTATAGCTGTCAACTGTGTACCACAAAAACCTTAATGTTACTTACGTACATGGATGGTTCTGGAATAATGCCTTATTGGCTGGTTGCTTAGCGGTTTAAGAAAGAATTGGCCTGAAATAATGTTTGAGATATAATTCAAAACTATTAGAAATGAGTACATTTTTTTAGGATTGGAATAGAATCAAACTTATCCGAATTTGTTATTTATCTTCTCTCAAATTAAACATTCTATATATAATTCGATTTCATTTATTTAAATCTCTGTCCGGTAAACAAATTTTTTTTGTTAAATTATTTAAGAGTCTGTCGCAATAGTATGTTTAACTTTATATTAATGAATCTATATTGCATGATACTATATTTAAGGGAATTATATAAGAGATTGTAGAACCTCAAATCATTTTAAAAGGTTTATTTTTTCTACTGTTACTATGACATTTTTATAAAGAGTTGAGTCAGTCCTCAAAGAGCAGAAAGATAAGAGTATCGGTAAACATCGAAGAGAGTCGATAAGCGGATGACTGGCATATTGTGAAATTCCAATATATAACCAGACCCATACACGTTCCCTTCCAGTCTCTAATTCGCATTTAGTGAGAGAAGTTAATTTAAAAATTTAGTGAAATGAAGGAAACTCGGTCCGTGTTTCTGTTGCTACTTGCGGTAGTAGCTTCTACCCAAGGAGCCAATATTCTGGGTCTCTTCAGCAGCCACAGTCCATCCCATCTGATCATCCATATGTCGGTGGCCAAGACTCTGGCCGAGGCTGGACACAATGTGACAGTGGTGTCCATGATGCAACCAAAAGTGATGCACAAGGATATTCACCTCATTGTAATTCCTGTGACGGAGGAACAGGAGCGGACACTGGATGAACAAATGACCACAATGGCGGGGCAAAAGAACTCAGTTTTTAGCACCATGTTCCGGCTCTTGAATGGCATGAATGTGATGATCGACTCTCAGGGAGATTTGCTGTCCGACCCGAGGTTCCAACGTATCTACGAGACCAAATTCGACCTGATGATTATGGGATACTTCATCAACGACTTCCAGCTAGGAGTTGCCAATAAGCTCAAGGTTCCCGTAATCGTTGACTGGATGGCTGCACCAATGCCCATAATTGATTGGTTCACCGGTAATCCTTCGGAACTTCCTATGTTCCCATCATGTCCGCTGCCACGCACCCATGAGCTTGGGAGCCCGTGCTCAGAACCTTGGCAAATACCTGTTTATGTGTTACATTACCAGTATGCTGGACTCCAAGGTGAATGGCATATACAAGGAGAACTTTGGAGAAGGAAAAGATCAGCCGACATTGTACGACCTCCGAAAGAATATCTCAATGGCTTTTGTCAACATTCATTTGATCAGCGAAGGGCCCATTCGACCCATGGTGCCAGGAATGGTTGAGGTCGGAGGCATACAGGTTAAGGATAAGCCGGATCCCCTGCCCAAGGACATTGAAGAGTTTTTGGCCAAGTCAGCGCAGGGAGCCATTCTCCTCTCCCTCGGTTCCAACATCAAGAGCACTGCAGTTAAACCAGAAATTGTTCAGACCATCTTCAAAGTACTTTCTGGCTTAAACAGAATGTGATCTGGAAGTGGGAGGATCTGGAAAACACACCTGGGAACTCCCCGAATATTCTCTACAAGAAGTGGTTACCCCAAGACGACATCCTGGCCCATCCTAATACCAAACTATTCATCACTCATGCCGGAAAGGGAGGTATCACCGAGTCCCAGTACCACGGAGTGCCTATGGTGGCCCTTCCGATTTTTGGAGATCAGCCTTCGAACGCCGAGGTCATGCAAAGCGCAGGGTACGGTTTGTCCCTTGACCTTCTGTCGATCACTGAGCAAAGCCTTGGAGAGGCACTCAAGGAAGTCCTGGAAAATGAGAAGTACTCTCAAGCTGTGGGCAAGTTCTCCTCGCTCTACAGGGATCGACCGATGACCGCCAAGCAATCTGTTCTTTATTGGACGGAGTACGTCCTGCGACATCATGGAGCTCCACATCTTCAGAGTCCTGCAGTGCACATGAATTTTGTTGAGCTTTACAACATTGACCTCTTTGTTATACTTTTAACGCTTCTAGCTGTGATTGTGTTCCTATTAAGTCTGTTTGTGAAATTGTTTGGAACAAACTAACAGGCAAAACAATTACCTATAAGAAGATAAAGAATCAATAAATTATTGTGTGTTCATTCATTAAATTGGTCTATTAGTAGTTAAGTGTGGCTAAATAAAAACAAAACCAAATATTAAACAATTTATAGTAATAAAATAAAATAATAATTTATATTTTATTGGTTCAGCTATGGGAAATCATCATTTCACTGCAAAAATGTTTTTATGCGTAGTCTTATCTGTCCCAAAACATATGGGATACGGGAATCGATAATGTTAAGGTAGAGTTCTTATCAACTTCTTATCTTCGCACTGACCTTTTTCTACGTTTGCAAGGATTCAAAGAATTTCCTATTTTCTGAATTTTATTAAACAGTATCAAATGAAATATACAAATATTTTCCATGAGTACCCAATGAGTACTCAAGCATACCCTAAACAGGTTGCTAGCCAAAACTTAATTTCGTTTGAAATCAATGATTATAATGACGCAAAAACATATTTCCCCAAAAAAAGTCAAAAACGAGATTACTCGCATTTACGATAGTGTTTTGTTTGTTGACAGGCCTTCCGTTTATTAATTTTAACGCATTTAATCATGACTCAGTTGCGAGACACGCGATACGTAGCCAGACCCTATCTCCTGGCGATAAAGTCTGCGGGTTAGCACCTATAATTTCCAGTGCCCCGTCACTGCAGCGCAGCAAAAGCAATTGAACTGATTATAAAATGTTTGAAATGGTCACTCTCACCGTCATTATATCTCTATATATAGGTACATATCAATAGCAATATAAACTGGTAGGCTGTCGGCATCAGAACTTAGTTAAGAACTACTGGGTCTAGAGCAAAGTACCTTCACTTACAATGCTTAAGTACTGTAGGATTTTGTGCTTTTGGCTTTACTCCTGGAATGAAGACTCAGCCAGGTGAAGGAGCCAATATTCTGGGTATTTTTGGTACTCATAGTCCTTCCCATGTGATCGTGCACATGGCTGTGATGAAAACCCTGGCGGATCGGGGTCACAACATAACCGTGGTGTCACTATTAAAGCCAAAATTTGCTGCCCATGAAAATATCACCGTCATTCTGGCACCACCAACTCCGGAGAGGGAAAAATTTATTAAGGAATACATGGCGGAGATGTCCAATGAGAAGCCATCCCTGTGGAAGACCATGGCCAAGGCTGTCTTTCAGGCGGGATCCCAACTGGAAGGCCAATATGAATTTATTGAGCATCCGAATTTAAAGGAGATCTACGAGAATCCGCAAACCAAATTCGACTTGGTATTCCTGGGCGCAATGGGCAATGACTTTCAACTGGGAATTGCTGCCAAGCTACGCTGTCCAGTCATTATCACCTGGGTTGGTGTGCCATTGCCCTTTATGGATTCCATTGTGGGTAATGTGAATGATCCATCGTACGTTCCCAGTGTAAATGTGGCCCTTGAACCTGGACAAAGGACCATGGGATTTGGTCTGAGATTTGGCAATCTCTTGAAGCATTCATTCCTGAGCACTATCAACAAGTTATTGAACTACAAGATGAATCAGTTTTATGAGTAAGTAAATCTTTATTTATATTAATATATAATTCATATTTTCAATTAATTCTTAGGCGTGCATTTGGCAATGAGTCGGACCCGGAGTTTCCCACTTACTATGAGATGAAACGTCGCGTATCCTTGCTGTTCTATAACTATCATTCTCCTAGCGAGGGACCCATCAGACCCACTGTTCCGCAATCCATTGAAATCGGTGGCATCCAGGTGAAGGAGAAGCCCCATCCATTGCCACAAGAACTGTCGGAGTTTCTCGACAATGCAAATGAGGGAGCAATTTTCTTTAGTTTGGGCACCAATGTTGATACCAACACCATTCGGCCAGAAATCGTGGATACACTCTACAAAGTTTTCTCTAAAGTGCCCCAAAGAGTTGTGTGGAAGTGGGAAGATCTGAAGAAAAAGCCGGGAAATGCCTCCAATATATATTTCAGCAACTGGCTGCCGCAGGATGACATCTTGGCCCATCCCAAGACGAGACTGTTTGTAACTCATGCCGGCAAGGGTGGCGTGGCGGAGGCGCAGTTCCATGGAGTGCCCATGGTGGCATTGCCACTCTTTGGAGATCAACAGGGCAATGCGGACATAATGGCCAGATCTGGATTTGGCCGATGGTTGGATATTCTGACAGTAACGCCCGAGGAACTGGAAGAGAGCATACTTGATGTTTTGCACAACCCTGTGTATCGGGAGACCATTGGGAATTTCTCTTCCCTGTACAGGGATCGACCACTGACAGCCCGGGAATCTGTGATCTATTGGACCGAATATGTCTTGCGACACCAAGGAGCATATCATCTGCAAAGTCCCCTCATTCACATGGATTTTGTGGCTCGCAATAGTATCGATGTTTATGGAGCAATTTTGTTTCTTTTACTTGTTTCCTGCCTGCTACTCCTCGTCATATTCCGATGGATATTTCGTAAGGCATTTGGAGTTGTGCGCCGAAAGAATTATCGGAAAACAGTAAAGCCTGACAAGCTTAAACATAATTAACCATTGAGCCTTGTAATTAGTGCGTATACGTAATATCAGTTAATATTGTGAAATTTTAAATATCAGGAAATTATCTATAGTAAGTTTAAAATATTACTTTGTTGTTTTTTTTAACATAAATATATTTAATTTATATTTTATTAAATATTAATGCTCAAATAGCAATTTGTAATGGTGTACAAATCGAATGTAACTTCCGTTGTCGTAATAATAATGGCAGCGAGTAGCCTTCTCTCTATATGTCCCACTCCCTCTCCATCACTCGCTCAGTGTGTATCAATAGAGCTGGCTCTTTCTGCAGCCTACCTCTAGAGACATCTCTTACTCTCTCGCTCTCTCGCTCTTACTCCCTCTGTTCTCCAGACTATAAATACAGCCGCTGCAGCCGAGCTGGCCTCATTCAGTCCGTGGCCGCTCCAGCGTTTACATCTCTAGTGATTGTGATTTTGATTGCCCCTCGATCTCAAAAATGTCATCTCACCAGTGCAAATCATCTGGACAACCAGGAAATAGGTTACTAAGCCCTGCAAAAAATTAAAATTAAATCAAAATAAATTATATATATTAATGTTAAAACAATAAATTAATGTGTGCATTCATTTCATTTACCTATACATTTTTTTATTAACAGCTTTACGAATTTTTACTTTACTTTTAAAAAAATGGAAAAGTTATAATTGTCATTATAATAAGTCATTGTTTATTTGTGTTCAAAGTTAGAAACTGATCATACATACTTACTGGTCATAGATACTTACTGATTATAGTTACTCACTGCTCATAGTTACTTGCTGCTCAAAGTTACTCACTGCTCATAGTTACTTGCTGCTCATAGTTAATTACAGATCATAGTCTTATAAATTGTCTGATTGTTCCTATTTCAGCTATATATATGTATATATGTAGTCCACCGATTGGCGTGCTCCGATTTATTAACTTGTAAATGTATATAGAAGATCAACTGGATAGTTTCATTCCAATAACTTGCTCTTAAATTTGTTCCAAAACAAGTCTCGCACACTTGTGCATATGATTCCCAACTGGTTCAAACATCCCCGGAACTAAGTGACTGCTGCTGGCCAAGTCTCAGAGAAGTATTGTGTTACAAAAGTTGCAAGTCATTGTTTATTTGTGTACAAAGTAATTAACTGATCATACATACTTACTGGTCATAGATACTTAGTGATCATAGTTTCTCAGTGTCATAGATACTTATTGTTCAGAGTTACTCACGGCTCATAGTTACTTGCTCTTCAAAATTAATTACTGGCCATAGTTACTTACTGGTCATAATACTTAATGTGCAGAGTTACTCACTGCTTATAGTTACTTCCTGCTCATAGATAATTACTGGTCATAGTTAATTACTGATCATAGTCTTATAAATTGTCCGATTGTTCCTATTTCAGCTATATATAGTATATATATAGTACACCGATTTGGCATTCTCCGATTTATAAACTTGTAAAAGTATATAGAAGATCAACTGGATAGTTTCATTCAAATAACTTGCTCATAAATTTGTTCCAAAACAAATCTCGCATTCCTGTGCATATGATTCCCAACTGGTTCAACATTCCCGGAACGAAGTGACTGCTCCGGACCAAGTCTCAGAAATGTGTTGTGTTACAAAGTTGCAAGTCATTGTTTATTAGTGTTCAAAGTTAGAAACTGATCATAAATTCTTACTGGTCATAGATACTTACTGATCATAGTTTCTTAGTGGTCATAGATACTTATTTTTCAGAGTTACTCACGGCTCATAGTTACTTGCTCTTCAAAATTAATTACTTGCCATAGTTACTTACTGGTCATAGATACTTAATGTTCATAGTTACTCACTGCTCATAGGTACTTCCTGCTCATAGTTAATTACTGGTCATAGTTAATTACTGATCATAGTCTTATAAATTGTCCGATTGTTCCTATTTCAGCTATATATAAGTATATATATAGTACACCGATTTGGCATTCTCCGATTTATAAACTTGTAAAAGTATATAGAAGATCAACTGGATAGTTTCATTCAAATAACTTGCTCATAAATTTGTTCCAAAACAAATCTCGCATTCCTGTGCATATGATTCCCAACTGGTTCAAACATTCCCGGAACGAAGTGACTGCTCCGGACCAAGTCTCAGAAATGTGTTGTGTTACAAAAGTTGCAAGTCATTGTTTATTAGTGTTCAAAGTTAGAAACTGATCATAAATCTTACTGGTCATAGATACTTACTGATCATAGTTTCTTAGTGGTCATAGATACTTATTTTCAGAGTTACTCACGGCTCATAGTTACTTGCTCTTCAAAATTAATTACTTGCCATAGTTACTTACTGGTCATAGATACTTAATGTTCATAGTTACTCACTGCTCATAGGTACTTCCTGCTCATAGTTAATTACTGGTCATAGTTAATTACTGATCATAGTCTTATAAATTGTCCGATTGTTCCTATTTCAGCTATATATAAGTATATATATAGTACACCGATTTGGCATTCTTCGATTTATAAACTTGTAAAAGTATATAGAAGATCAACTGGATAGTTTCATTCAAATAACTTGCTCATAAATTTGTTCCAAAACAAATCTCGCATTCCTGTGCATATGATTCCCAACTGGTTCAAACATCCCCGGAACGAAGTGACTGCTGCGGACCAAGTCTTAGAAATGTGTTGTATTACAAAAGTTGCAAGTCATTGTTTATTAGTGTTTAATGTTAGTAACTGATCATACATACTTACTGGTCATAGCCACTTACAGATCATAGTTAATCTTTATCGTAGCTATTTTTTTTTGTCATAGTTACTTAATGTTCATAATGTATAAAAATTCTAAAAAATCTGCAAATAACATGTTTTTTTTAATATTAAATTGAGTATCCAAATTTATTTACATAATAAATTCTTACATATAATAGTTTTCGGAACCAAATTGAAAAATTGTTGGCTACCCTAAAATATTTACAAAATATGTAGATGTCCGTATGTTCGCTTTTGTTGTGTGTTCGAGTGGAATGTTTATGGGTGTTTAAAACTTGACTCAAAACAAGCTGCCCCTTAGGGAGCTCCTCATTAAATAAACACAGATAACCAGAAAATAGGCGGCAAAAACACAAAATAAAAGATGATAAAACTTATATTGAGAGAGAGTGACAAAAGCTTTGCTGGATAGCATGCCACAACGCCGGCATCCATTTGAGTTGATTGGTCATAAACGAGGAGAGATATGGGGGAGCCTTGAAATTAATCGGTTGCCATTGACAGTGTGTCGCATAAACCGCGAACAGTCTGGTACATATTTAATTAAATCAGTAAAATTAGTTTAAAAGGGTATACAGATGTAGTTCCTGTGTATTAAGCCCATAGCACTGAATATTTTTAACTATTTCTATGTTTATTACATTAATATTAATAATAATATTATAATAAATGTAAATACATTTATTTTTTGTTCTTAAATTAATTTATGCATATTTTAAAGCCTAAAGAGAAATTCAATTGCAGTCCCAAAGAATTACGTATACGCACTGGTGAAAATAGTATTGGATCGTAACTAAGCCAAAAGAGCATTACTTTCAATTTAAAAAACTGTTCTGTGTTAGTAAGTATAAATATATCATTCTTCCGGCTGAGGAATTATAATTCTTGGTCAAAAGGGCTTATTTCAATATATGTAATACTTATAAGCAAACAAGTTGATTGCGATAAACAATTGCGATCTGCGATTAAAGCTCAAGTGCCGGCAATGACCTGCAGTGTAGCTGTTACTGTGATGTCATGCACCTTACCCAACCCGGCAATTAATGGAAGCAGCTACAATTCGCAGACCTAGAACAACACACATCGCATACGCTCAACAGGTTGTCCCCAGTCTCTCCCACAGCGATTATTTATAGAAGTGTCCGAGAGCGTATTCTCCATATATCTCGCACTTTTCGAGAATGATTTCAGTTCGTTTCGGATTCAATTCTCAGTGATTCGAGTGGCTCCGAGGCAGCGCGTGCCGAACGCGTATAGTTTTCCAAATTAGTTTTTGCATTATTTAATTGCTTATTTGTCGTAGCTTGCCGTTTCTCTATACAAACGAGGTATTTCGAATTTCTATAATTGATTTGTCGGAGTCATCAACGGGGGAAAGTGCCAATTTCATGAACTAATAGTTAACCTACAATGTGACATTGACAGTGAAAAAGATTGCACTTTAACCTTTGTATTAGCGTTCTATATTATTGTGATTATTTCTGTTTTTGTTCGTGAGAAAATACAATTTATGATAAGTAAACACATCTAAAATAGATGTAAGAAAAACAAAATTCCATAAATTAAATAAAATAAATTCCATGTTTAAAAATGCTTTATTGACAGTATTAAAAATACTTTGTTTTATTTTACAATTCAACACAAAGACTGTGCAAGTTTTCCCAGTAGAAATAAGTTGCCTGTTACCTCACTATTTAAACTTAATGCAACTAAATATGTGAAAACAATACCCACACTTTAAACAAAAATTAAATCACAATCTAAATGAAACTTAACAACAGTTATCAGTAAAGAGTTATAGGAAACCTAACGTGTACTCCTTTTACTTGTCCACGTTAAATAGTTATTAATAAAAATACACAATATAAAAACCTCCAAACAATGACTTTGACCAAGCAAACATTTTCGAAATTCATGCAGCTCTTGAATGGAAATATTTATATGTATTTTGCAGATTAAGGGAATCTTATCAGTGTGTTATCACCCCCGCCGACTGCGTATAAGATAACTGCCGGCCGCCGGAGTTCCAGTCAGTTTTCCTTTGGACTTTAATGCGAACGGATAAAATTATGGCGCCTTCCCGGAGCACGTGGCTGGGCTGCAGTTTTGGCGGCCTTTTGGTGGCCCTCTTGGCCCTGCAGTCGATGCCCCAAGGCAGCGAAGGATCGAATATCCTGGGCGTCTTCACCAGTCACAGCCCCTCGCACTTCATTGTGCACATGTCCATCATGAAGTCTCTGGCAGAAAAGGGCCACAACATAACCGTCGTTTCCAGCATGTCGCCAAAGGTGACCCACAAGAGCATCAAGCATATCGTGATTCCCATGAGTGCCGAGGATGAGAAAGTCTTGAACGAAGGCATGGCAGGGATGGTGAAGGAGAAGCCATCGATTTGGACCACTATGAAGTCAATCTTCAGCTCGCTGTCCCTGCTGATTGACAAGCAGGTGGACGTCCTGGAGGATCGCCGCTTCCAGGAGCTCTACCTCAACAAGGGCAACAAGTTCGATGTGGTATTCGTCGGCTTCTTCTTCAACACTTACCAGGTGGCCCTGGGTGCCAGGTTTAACTGCCCCGTAATTGTTTCCTGGTCTGGCCCACCCATGATGATGGTTAACGAAGTGCTTGGCAACCCCGAACTGTTCAGCGTACCACAAATGCAAATCGCCGTGGCGCCAGGAAAAGCCATGAACTTCCAGCAGAGGGCCCAGAATTTCGTCAGCAGTCTTAGCTTCGGTGCACTGAATGTCTATCTGAACACCAAATACCAAAAGTTCTACAAGTAAGTACATACATATTATGTTATCAATACTTCTGATTAGCCGTTATCACGAACAAATACAACAAATTAGTTTTCTAAAGCAATCTATAAAATGTAAATAGCCTTGGTTTCTTGCAAGAAAATACTAAATACATAATTTTCTTTAAATTGCAGTCGCCTTTGGGGCAAGGACAAATCAATGCCCAGCTTTGAGCAGGCAAAGAAGAACGTCTCCCTGGCTTTCTGCAATGGTCATGCCATCAGTGAAGGTCCCATCCGTCCAAATGTGCCGGGTATAATCGAGATTGGTGGCATCCAAGTGAAGAACAAGCCCGATCCACTGCCTGAGGACATCAAGGAGTTCCTGGAGAACGCTAAGAATGGAGCAATTCTCTTCAGTTTGGGTTCAAATCTAAAGGCAGAACACTTTAAATCCGATGTGGTGACCAATGTATTCAAGGGCTTGAGCGGCCTGAAGCAGAAGGTGATCTGGAAGTGGGATGATCTCGACAATATCCCCGGCAAGGCATCGAATATTCTCTACAAAAAGTGGTTGCCCCAGGACGATATCCTAGCACATCCCAATATAAAGTTGTTCATCACCCATGCCGGAAAGGGAGGAGTTGCTGAGGCCCAGTACCATGGAGTCCCCATGTTGGCCCTGCCCGTCTTCGCCGATCAGCCAGGAAACGCCGATAAACTGGTAGAGAGTGGCTATGGCCTCCGACTAGAACTGAACTCTCTGGATGTCACCGAATTTAAGGAAGCCATCAAAGAGATCATTGGTAATCCCAAGTACGCCCAGAAGCTGAAGAGCTTCTCGCAGCTGTATCGCGATCGTCCCCTTACTGCACAGGAATCGGTGGTCTACTGGACGGAGTACGTGATCCGTCATCATGGAGCTGCTCATATGCAGAGTCCTTTGGTGCACATGAGCTTCGTTGCCAGCAATAATCTGGACATTTGCATTATCACTGCCTTACTGCTCTATGTGATCTTCATCATCAACAAGATCTTTTGGAAATTTGTATGGCGCAAGTTGTTTGGCAAATCGAACAAAGCTTCTCCGAAGAAGAAGGTGAAGAAGCAGTAGACTTTTATAGATTAAAGCGAATTGTAATATTTAGAAACGAATTGAACAAGGTACTCGATAATGATAAACAAAATGACAAACTAATAATGTACACGATCCGATAAAAATAATAAAAATGTAAAAATTGTAAGTCCGATTATTATAATGATTATTATTAGCAGGGAGCTCTTAGCTTCCAGGCGACATTTAGCTTTCCACTTATAAATTGATCAAGGCTTCTTCAAGGCTCAAGGAAGTCTTTATTTTAAGAACTTTTCATTTTCAGAATTTTAATAAATTTATATTGAAATATACATATACTTATTTCTTTAACTTCACAAAAATTAATGTTTACGTGGCGTATACGTAATATAAGTCAAATACAATGAAGGTCAATAAGTTCCTGCCATCTGCATACTTAAATTTAATAAGTATTTTATATAAACAGAAATACATAACATAAAGTCGTTGGATTTAAAAATGAAGATTAATAACGTTTTTGAATAAAAATTTAATTCAACACTGAAATTTCTCCATGCTTCGCATGCTCACCACAGGCGGTTTGTGTATTGGATAATTATAGCAAGTTTTGCTTGAGACGACACATGATTAGTATTATGTACATATATCCATGATCGTTCAAATTCACCAACAGATGTCGCTAATAATAATGTAGAATATGAATTTTATAATTAAAAAATTAAGTTTGCTTATTTATGATTAATACTAAATTTAATATATACTTGTCAAGTCATTCACATTTTATCTAGACACATTACTAATTACTTTACAGGACAATACTATTCCACCTCCAACACCGCGTTCCCTTTATTTAAGGAGCATCGAGAGCCTTTGATATCTTCGCCTTGTCTTCCATCTCCTCCACCTCCGCCTTGCTGGATGCAATGGTGTCCCCGTGCAAACATCTTGCACCACACGACACATCTCGCTGTCCAGCTCCTCGGGATCCTGCACCATGTCCCGGCCACTGTAGATCTCTTGTTGCAAGTTGGGAGTATGCTTCCGTGCCGCGGCAAACTCACCCACACCCAGTTCGGCATGGATGGTGTCCATAAGGTTGGCCAACAGCAGACTTTCGTTGTGGCTGAAGAGATGGCTCTCGTTGCTACCCTTCAGGATGCAGTTCCTCACCTCCTCCGCCTCGTAGCACATGCCCACCCGATTGTGATAATGAGTGGCGTCCATCTGTTGGGCTTGCGGCAAAGGAAACTCAAAGTCCACCTGCTCGGTGATTAGGCGCGTGGGACACCAGTAGTTGCCCATCTAAAGGTAGAGAAAATTAATAAGATTCCTTAATGATTCCTTAATTTTTCAGACTCACCTTGATGCTTCCCTGCTTGCCCTGAATGATGGCCAAGTTTTCGAGCCTCTTCTCCGAGCTGACTTCGATGAAGGCCCGCTTGGCGCCACTGAAATACATCTCAATATTGGCGGCCACATCCACATTCTCTGAGTTGACACTGCCACTGACCTTGAGGCAGCGTGGCACCTCACGGAATACCCAGAGTGCCAGCTGCATTCCATAGACGCCAAAGTCACTGGTAACTCCACCATAAAGAGCCAGCCTACTGGAGAAATAAGATCAGGAAATATAACTCTGCCCAAAATGAGAAGAAGTACTGAAGGAGAGCTCACCTATCGGAAACTGGCAGCCCCAGGGTACAATGGACTTCCTGAAGCTCACCAAGGCGGTTACGCTGGATCTGATGCCGCAGGTATTGATAGGCGGGCACACATCTCGGCCACATGCCCTCCATGAGAAAGAGTCGTCGCGCACTGGCCTTATCCACCAGCTTGATTACCTGCTCCTCCGTCATGCAGATTGGCTTCTCGCACAGTACGTGCTTGTCATGGTTGAGCATCAGGTGGCACAATTCCGAGTGCTGAGGATTCAGCGGAGAGATGTACACAACGTCTGAGCTTCAACAATTGGATTAGTAAGTTTATATTAAAAACAATTTTAAACAATTTGATTTGGCATTTACTATATTAAATATTTAATTTATCAAAATATTACTCATCCGCCATGTGAGCCCAGAAATATTTTGATTTATATGTGAAGCTAATGCCAAACAAAATCTGTTATATTTCCAGGCAACTCACCAACATCCGGCACTTGGCCAAATCCTCAAAGCTGGTGTATACATTCTTCACCTGATGGCGATCGGCAAAGGCCAGAGCATGTGACCTGTAGGCTGCCACGCAGGACACAATGCGGTGATTTTGTGGTGGCAGGACACTCAGGGCTGCGGCGAAGTCATCCGCCATCAGGCTAACGGGCGCAATGCCCCAACGTAGTGTCGGTTCCTTAATACCCTGGTTATCCTGCTCTTCATCTGCCAAGCCTCCACGGGATTGCTCGGTGAAGCGATTGATATGCAGCTCACGGGATTGGAATCTCCACATCCTATGGTCGCTTATCTTCCTACCCACGAGACTACTTCGACTAGCATCCGGTGTGGACGATGAGCATGTTGTACGTCCATTTGGCATCTGATCTGAGGTGAGTACAAGGGCAAGTTACTCATTCTTAAAAGAGAGAAAATTGCAGTTCAAAATAAATATTATTTTATATTAAGTTAATGAAAAAATTCACTTTTCCATAGAAACATTTTGCCAAGTGTACAACCGCCAGGCAGAGATCGGTGGCAACTTTGTCGCGTAAAACGCATTTCATTCATACAATCGATCGGTTTTCCACGAACTGGCGAAATTGCGGGTGTTGGTTTTGGTTTGGGTTCCCCCTGGCAGCCCGGCACAGCCCGTCAGCCCGAAAACCGGTCTCCCAGCCTCCAGGCTCCGGACCATCCGTGGACCATCTACGTCGAAACCGAGACGGCGGGCGCATTATGTGGCGCTGTTTAGTGCGTCAGTTCCTCCATAATTAGTCATATTTGTTTAGCATCACAACTTGTGAATGACTTGCTGCCGTTCGGCGGGGCTCACAGTCAGGTTTTAAGCCGCTGTTTTGGCCGCTCTTTTTGCCGCGATTGCTATTGCAACCAATGGTGTTGTGTGTGAGCTGGTGATGGCCTGGTCCTGGCCAAGTTGGCCAAGTTGGGAACTGCCTGGGCCGCGCACTTTGCGCTTCGTTCTGTCCGCATTCGAATTTCACTTTCTTTTTTAGAAACTAAGCAACACGGACTGTTTGTGTATTTATCACCGTCACACTCGATGAAAGGGTAGCTTCACTTTGACAAAGTGTCTTTTGGAATTGATTATTTACTTTATTTTCAATGGTATTGCATTCATTTAAGGGGAATGTTTGTTAACTATTAAATAATATAAGGTGTATATCTCTCAAATCTTCAGAGGGCAAACTACACATTTATATATAGATCGTTTATAAATATTCATTCAAAAAAATATAAAGCACAATGGTTCCTCAGATATGTAACTTAAGGCATGTTTTTTGGCATATGTTTACACTCTCGATTAAGAAGGTATTCTTATTAATTTATATATATTTTTAGAAGTTAAAGAGCATTCAATAGTTCCACTTTCCACTCGATAGCTGCCACCTTTCTCAGCTTATTTCACTTTTCAATAATTCGAGTGCGTGCAACAATGTCCGGCGGCGTGCGAGCTAGTGTGTGAGTTGCTCTGTGCGCAGTGCGTCCCAACAAAATAACAAGAAAACAAAAAACAAAAAAAATACAACACAAATTGAAAAATTTGTTTATCTAATTAGCAATGCACCGGGCGACGTCTTTTGCAGGCAAAGGCAGTGCTTTTCACCTGATTTGGCATGCACGGCAGGTGCTTTCAGGTGGCAACTGGCAACTGGCAACTGGCTAATGGGAACTGCCAAGTCGATGGCCGTAGAAATTGCCCTAACCCCAAATGCAAAACAATAAAAATATGTGCGAGGCGCCTTAATGGGCTTGCCAATGAACGAAAGTGTTCTATGGGCGTGCAGACGAACCAAAAGAAATAAAAAAGACCGAAAACCAAAACCGAAATTGGAAAATTTCTTTAACCAACTCTCGCCCAGTGCCGGAAGTGTCTCTGTATAAGTCAGTGCGAGTGTGTTGTGTGGGTGAAATTATGTGCAAGTGAAAGGTTGCCTAATTTCTGTCATTAAACTACACGGACAAGAGCAGGAGCCACGACTGCACTTGTACAAATTAGTGCAAATTTCATAGTAAACAAAGTCATAATCCCCGGACTTTAAGATAGATACTTTTATAACTGAATCAATTGATTGAAATTATTGAAAATACATTAGGATATACGCAATAGAAAAGGTTAAATCGATATAGAAAATTATAAAATAAGTTATAATATAATTTTTAGTGTGATTCCAACTCTATCTAGATTAGATACAAAAAAAGTCAAGAAGTTGCCGGGAGCAGGAGGACCAGCGCGACAAGAGCTGACAGCCGGAGCACACAAATTTGCCATGCGTGTGTGCCTCTTGATGACTCTTTCCAGAGAGCGACGACATGGCGGAGACGACATGTTCATTAAAGCCGGAGCGGGATCATCATCATCATCCCCAAGCCAAACGAACCATCCGCCGGCTCCTCTGGCGCACCGACAAAGCAAATAAATACTAAAATTTGCATGCCTGCAACATAAATCGTCGCAAAATATTAAACAAGTCAGCAGCAACAGTTGAAATCAATAAATTTATTGATACAATTTACACGGCACCGAGTGGAGCACAGGCACAACTACAACCATCAAGGCTTCAGCGGCAACGGCAACGGGCAACGATGATATTGCTGGCAGCATGCAACATGCAACACGGCCACATGCAACACATGCGCTAATTAAGGGGGGTTCGAGTTCGCCGGCGGGGGTGTTGGGAAAACGCGGCACTCGCCATTCGTCGATGGCCTTGCAACTGGCAAAGTGGCATCAGAAACAAGTTAACGAGCCTGGCCAAGTGACCAACTGACGCGAGGAAACTCACTCGATGCGATTTTCGCGGCAACAAATTATTGTTTTGTGTAGGAGAGAGGGGCTTTCATGAGGGACACCGATGTGATTTGCGATGATTTGGTCCTCACGCTGACTTGATTGCATCCCATAAAACTGATCAAAATGTATGAAATGCTTCTCATAATGATTTACTAAGTAATATCGTTGTCGTAGATCCTGATTTATTTATGGTGTCGATATAGCAAGTAAAATGGAAGATATGTTTGTCATTGGAAAATAATTAGTAAATGGTATGAATGGTAATTGTTTAGAATTTAAATAAAAGTATCAGTTACAATCAGCAGTCTTCCAAAATTTACAAACAATTCGAAAGTGGAGTAATTGCTAATCATTTGAAATTCTGTAAACATAGATATTTAAGTGTGCGTCGCATGGATATTTACATGTTTTGCCATTCTAGGTTGTGAAAGTCAAGTGTCAAGTTCGTTGCCAAAGTCTTTTGATTTGCCTTACGGAGACTCGAAACTTTTGCAACATTGCGCCTTAATTGACACCTTTAACGTTTTGAGAGAAAGGGGACACAAAGGGAGGCTCTGTGGCCTAACAACAACATTCAGACATCAGCATAATTTTTCGTGTTTTTTTTTTATTTTGTTGCCACTGCTTTGGAGGTACTTTTTGTTGGCCGCCTGACAAGTTTCGAATGCACATGTCCATCGGCTCACTCTCTCATCTCATCTCATCACATCACATCTTCTCCTCAACTACTATACGCACACGCCCAGCAGCAATGGCAAACAGCAAAAGCCAATTGACAGCCAGTCATGTCATGACTATTGCCAATTGTTTTTTGTTTCTTGCTGTGCCAAGGCTTTTAACATATTTTACGATTTGTTGACCGCTGGTAGAAATTTATTTTGCCAAAAAGATTTTCGGTTTTTATGCAACCGAACCGGTGATAGCCAAAAGCGAAAGCCCAAGAAAGCTATAATTACAGAGTAAGAACAAGTATGTTGGGGGTAGTAAGAGTTAAGTGAAACAAGAGTCTATATGAAGTTCTAAGTCTGAAATAATACCTTAAACTATTAAAGTAAGCCAAATTTAAACTATATAATATTTTAAATATTTTATTTTACTGAAGAGTTAGATCTCAGATTACCAGAAAACCTTCTCAGATACAATGAAGATTAACTATTAATCGTTTTCCTTTTAAAAATTAAATGTAACCAAAAACTGTCTGCAAATTTAATTGTTCCCTTTACAAACTTAAATAATATTACGATACTTGTCTGTAATTGCTGTCATTATTTTCATTATCAGTCTTAAAAGAGACTAATATTCTTGGCCAACAGCAGCAGCAACAGCAGCAACATGTTGCAGGCGGTGAAAAGTGAGTCTGTCTCTGGACAAGAGCTGCAACACCAAGCACCAGCAGGAGCAGCAGCAGCAGCAGCAACAAAAAGCGAAAAGACGACAACTTTGGTGACGATGCTGCCGACGGCGAAGCCAGCTGTGACTGCGACGCATGTGTTTATTGATTCGCTTTGGCTTTTTGCTTTTGGGTCTGGCTTTAGCTTTGGCTTTGGCCAAAAGCGACAGCAGCGGCCAAGACAAGTGCAGGCCTGGTTCGTTGTACCTGCAATCTCAGTCGGCGGCTCAGTTGCTGCCGCTGCCGCAGTCGCTGCCTCTGCCACTGCCGCGGTTGCTTTTAACAGTTTCGAATTTGAGTTTTGGCCAAGACCACGCGAAATCAGTTAACAAACGGACGCGTTTTGAAACGGATGCACTGCTGGCACTGCTGAAGCCTCCGTCGTCGTTTTTCTTTGGCCTGGCTCCTCCATAAAAATCGAAAGATCCCAAGATCCCGGCCAAGTCGAATCCGAAACCAAAACCAAAACCAAAACCAAAAACCAAAACCCGAAGTCGAAGCCGTGCGAATGTCTGACGGCCCGAAGAAGAAGAGGCTCGCAGAGCTGCTATCTTCATCGGTCGCGCTGGTCGTTTAAAAGTGAAATTTACTGAATGAAATGAAATGTCTTATGGCCAGCACGGACTCGCTGTCTGGCCAACTGTGTGCACAGTGCCTTTGCCCGTTGGCTTTGTGTTTGATTATTGATTTGTGACAATTGTCGGGGCAAGGAAATGACTGCAAATTAGTTGGCAAACATTTGTTGTCGCCTGCAAAAAACCCGGATTAAAAAACCGCCTACATATTATTAACGCAAATTATTTGCCAATTCGTGGAAATATCTTTCTTCCTTGTGCGAGTGTCATTGAATGGTAAGCCAACAGGCCGGAAACTAAGGTGATGTAAGATCCTGCCTACATGGTGTAAGCCTGTGAATAAAATGGTTGAAATCAAGTTCTTAGCATCCTTATTAAACATAAAAGGAAAATACATATAACAATTGGGGAAAAATAAACCATTTTTAAGTAAAGAGTAAATGAAATTATGGTTGACAATGTATACAAGTTAGTGAAAGTGAAAGAACCAATTTGGTGCTATCTAAAATAAAGTAAGCTCTTTGTAGGACCCACAGGACCTTTTTACAAGCGAATGAATAATTCGTTCATTAATAACACTTTAAAAATATAATAAATTTTATTTTTTAAATATTTTTAATAACTTTAAATTTAATTAACTTATAATCTTTTATCAAAATCATTTCATTTGATTGTAGACAATCCACAAGGATTGTAAAATCATCAAGTTGCTAAAGATATGAACACATTAGACCACCAAGCAGGCGACATGATCGTATGTTATGTTTGAATAAGTTAAACACTTGTAAGCCTACGTGTGATCAGTGGAAATCATGTCTGATTATTCACAACGATTTGTGTTTATTTCTGTTGAAGTTGATCGCTGACATCGTGTATGATCAGCGAAGATCGTGTACGATGCCTATAAAGTGCCTGCTAAGTTTCGGATGCAGTTTAGCATTTACAAATAAGTGAGTGTGAATCCATTTACATATTACATATATTCGATGGACAATCAGTTACACAAAAGTAACAATCGGATTTATAGATCCTACTTAATTCAGGAGAAAATTAACACTTACGCTATATAGTAAACGCTCTTAAACTTTAGATTGTAAAATCTTGAAGTGTGTCTAATATATAACCCCAATAATAAAATTTATTACTACTTCAAGCTCTTAAGAGAAGCTCTTAGTTACATTTCGCTTGCAAAGTTGCAACACTTGATCCGTTTAAACATTACTTGGTGGCTACTTAAACGCATTTACCATCAATCAAACTCTCGGTTTTCAATGGTATAATACACGAGTGCGGATGTTGCTCATAAATTCCACCTTTCTTCGCCAAGCGAAATCGAATGTTTTTACGATCCTGGTAACTTTGCGCAAAGAATTAAATGCGATGTGCTGGTTATTCGGTGGAAAAGCAGACAAACAAACGGGCATCACTCATACGCCGCGTGGACAGAATGAGGGGAGAAAGGGCAGACAGTTGATTTTCCCGGCACTCCCGGGGCCACTCTGCGCATTTATCTTTCACTTAAAGTGAAGATGACATTCTTTAAATGAAATTAACTGCCGGCAACAAAAAGCTGACGCTCTTGCCACTGCTGCTGCTGCTGATGCTGCTGCTGCTGCTGCTGCTGCTGCTGCTGTAGTGCTGATGCATCCGACGATGTTGCTGAGGTTGCAGCTAATGTTGCTGCTGCAGATGCTGCTTCTGTGGCAGCTGCTGCTTTGGCTGCAATTAGTATTTGTCTTTGGCTAATACGCTGCCATGTTGGTATGCATCTCTGTGCGCCAGTTTCATGTTGCCCCTGCGCTGCCGCTGTGCTGCTGCAGGTTGCTGGTTTATGTTGCTGCTTGCCGTTTGCTATCTTTTACTTAACGCATAAAAAGTGTCGCGCACTTGAATGGCTATTTGGTCTCTGCTTCGGTTGTTTGTCTATTTATTGGTCTGTTTGCTTGCTCATCGGCTTTTTGTGCTGCCTTTTTTACACTCATTGGCTTAGCCGTCCACTTAACAGCTGTCGCATCGAGTGCATCTCTCACTCCATCTCCATCTCCATCTCCATCTGGAGTCCCCAGCTCCATCTCTCCTCCGAATCTCAATGGCTCAGATCTCCAGTGGTGCCTTTTGGGTTACTATAAGTGACTGATCGCCGGCTTTTAAGAGACGCCGATCGAAAGTGCCGGGAATGCATTTATGATACGGGGCATCAAGTTGATGTGTTCACATCAATGTTTTCACATTGTGTGGGTTGTACCATCAACTGAATTAATCGAGGTTAAAGATCTTTCAATTGCCTGAAAGTTTGGCAATTATTTAAAGTATATTTATTATAGTTGAGTGGGAATAAACAACTTGGGGGGAAGATATTACATTTAACTCAGACAATTGATAGAGAGTATATTTTGTGTCCCAAAATCAATGGTTAAAGCCCCCCAAAAAATGTATCTGCTCTATAATTAAATCAGCAGCTAAATAATTCCGATGATTACATAAATTACATATTATTAGCATATCAGATAATCGCATAATACTTGGCGACAGCACTCACTTAGCGGCCAACACACATTTCTCTTGTCATGTAAACACAATAAACTTAAACAACACTGAAATTATGCGTAATTAAATGCATTACAAAGTGCCACGGAATGGCTTATGCAAATGTCCGGTGTAACACTATAAAAACAATTAAATAACTCAAGCAAAACAAGATCGAGAGCATGAAAACAAGTTAGGCCTACCGCGTAAAATAGCGAAAATTTCTGATGATAGAGGAACTCTCTAGTGACCACTGGAAAATTTTGGGGTAAATCATAAGAAAATACAGGGAGTCCAAATTATATTCAATTGCAAGGCCATCACTCCGCCCCATTTTCCTGGCCGTCGGCGAATTTTATTTGATTTTAATTGCCGCCATAGCAAGATGTTTGCCATTTAATGGCTTTATTTATGCGTGTAGTAATCAAGTTAATTTTTACGATTGCCGCCGACCGAGTCACAGCAGCAGCAACACCGAAAAGCGTGGCAGCATGCCGGCAACAACAAACTGGACAGGCAAAATAAATGCAAATTTTCTTTTTGATCAAAAAGCACAAGTTTCACTTTCGATGGGAACGGAACGCACGGACAGGCCAGCTCTGGCCGAAAAATATATTCCATGAACAAAAAAAAAAAACAAAAGGAGAAAAACAGGGACAAAGATGACATGCAACTTGGGATGGGGAGATCTTGATAAGAAGCCCCCAGGACAATCGCAGGCAAAGGGAACTGCAACGCGAAGAAAGCCCAAAAGAAAGACCGCCGCCCACCCAGGTCGTGCGAATCTTCAGATCGCACTCCGTCTGTGTGTCCAGGGAGTCTGCCGGTTTGCCATAAATTATGAATTAATCGCATCAATCTCCTCGATCCCGGCCGTTGTTGCTGAAAGGGTTGCGGATGAAGGGTCTTAAATGGTCATTTTATATTAATATGGGAACTAAAGTTTAGTTGAGATTGCGAAATCTTTAAAGTCCTTTAAAGAAAACCAAAGAAAAATGCTTTAACACGTTTAATGCACCGAAACTGTCATGCAATATTTTCGAGTTCGTGTCTTAAGTCTTTCGTTTTGGATTTCAGTCAGAAGGTTGTAATAATGTGAAGAAGCCATTTCCGACCCTATAAACTATATATATTCTTGATCAGCATCAACAGCCGAATCTGTCCAGACGTAGCAGAAAAAAAAATTTTTTTTGTCAATTTTGTCAAAATTTATAAGGGGTTACATCATTAAAATTTTCAAAATTTTACCAGAAATTGAATTTTTTAAATTTAAAAACTCGGAATCAGATTTGTTAGCCCTATTAAAAACCAGCTCAGAAAAGGTTTCCAAATTAACATTAAGTTATTTTTGCTTAGTTATGATATTTAAAAAACTTTAATTTAACCAAAAATTCGGATACGCGATGTTAACTTTCTTCTTGTTTGTCTAAATTGAAAATACTTTCAATTCATAAGTAATAAATATTATTATCTTAAGAGGATAGAATTCATAAATAGAATTCATACTTTCTGACTAAAGTCACTATTTTATAAACGAATCTCCAATAAAGTTAAATTCGTTTCACATATCAATTTCCATTTGCCAAAAATACCCTGTTACAATCTACTTTGGGAAATTAATTCTCTATTTAATACATTTTTCCATTAACCAAATCGAGCCGAAGTGAAAGGTTAATTTTCTTTGCTCTTTAGTTAATATTAATCAGACATTCCACTTTATGATCACAACTTAAAGGCTACCTGAATTGAAAAATGCAGGCATGGCTTCAGCTGCAAATTAAGTTCCCAGCAATCTGGATAACAACCTGTTAAGTGACTCCAGTGTCCGTGAGTAGTAACAACACCGGCAAACTTCCTCATTGCCGGACGTTATTCAATAGTTAAGAATCGATTGCGGTGGAAAATTTGCTAAAATTGCAGAGATCAAGTTCGATGGACACAATCGATATCGATGTGCATATTAAATCATCAGCGAGTCATAACCGAAACTCAACAATTTAACAAAATTCCAGATAAGACGAGAAAAACCGACCAGACCGATCAACGAACCGAGCCACGATGATTAGTGAACGCCACAAGAGCCGCGATTTGGTTACGATACTTGGTCTGCTCTGTCTCCTCCTGCACCACGGTGTCGCCTCTGGCCATGTGATCGAGGTCTTGGCTCAATCAACAACCGCATCGGCGACGTCGACGTCAACGGTGGCGGCGGCTCAGACGGATACGGTGCCGGTGACCAAGACGTGGACTGAGACGAAGACAAATGCCAGTCAGGATGAGGTTGCTCCGACGCCCGGTGCGACAACAGGTGAGCGAACAACAACCGCAGCGAAATGAAAAATATGAAAGATTTGCACTTTGATTTTGTTTCGCCAACATAATTGGGTGCTTGGCCAGCGGGAGAGTGGAGTGTGCGGATGAGCTGGGCGCTGGAGGAGGGCGCTGGAGGAGTGGGCACTGCGGACTGGGGACTGGGGACTGGGAGTGGGCACTATTTTAATGGCCAGCATTAGGAGATCAAACAATTTTGAACGCAATCATGCGAGGCATTTTAATGTGAATGAAAGTGAAAATCGTCTGGCAACATTGTTTCGTGGTCGCAGGCAATTATGCAAGGATAAATGGGATACAGATGCATGTACTCGATTATGCCTGGGATGGGATTGGGAGTGGAGTGGCCTAAAGAGGAGTGGAGTGGAATTCAGTGAAGTGGACTTCAAGCACCCAAGCGTAGGCAGTGCGCCCACCCATCATGAAATTGTAAGAAAAAAGGGCTAACCGAATAGCTAAATGCTCTCTACAATATTACAACAAATTTGTACTATTTTTTTAATAGGTTTTAAACCTTTTAATACCGATTTCGTTCGGGATTAATAGACTCTTATTTATTGGTAAATTTCAAGCAGCAATAACTGCCTATACTTCGAGAGGGTTTCATATTTCAAGATTATTTAAATAAGATAATTTAATTATTTAAAAAATCAATCTTAGCACATGGGGATACCAATTTCTACCATAAAAATAACTCATTATAGTTCACACATTTTTCATAAAGAGCTTAAACTGTTTCGTTGGGGGAATTGGAAACAATTTCAAGAAAGAGATCAAGATGCATGAGTGGCCATTTCCGCTTAGGCCAAGTGCATGTCCTCACGTCGAAGAGCTATGAAGACTGAGAGCTGGGAGCTGGGAGTTGGGAACTGGGAGCTTATAGCTCCGCATGTTTTTGCGAACGCTCAAATGGAAAGCGATTTGTCTGGTTTTAGCTAATAATTTATCAGGCCTCCCATTCACAGTCGTCGCCTTGCCTTGCCTGCTCCTGCTCCTGCTTCTGCGCCTTCGCCGCCTCTGCCACTTATTTTGCCCAGTTCGTTGATCAGTCAATCAAGCGGAGTGGAGTCCAAGTCAAAGCCCAAGTGGTCTAACTTTGTGTCTGGGTGTCTGTCTGTCTGTTTGCCGTGCTGATTGCCATGGTCATGGCCCCCACTGATCAACGCCTGCCGACACGTTGGAGGAGCCCGAAAGTGTCGACGGCTGCCAGGTGGGCGTTGGGTTCACGTTCATGGGGCTCTTTTTGGCGGCTTGGCCTCTGACATCGGCTTAATTAGCCACATGGCGAGGAGCTAAGCGGCTCATCGAATCCCAGTCGGAGGCTTACACAGGCTACAGGTTCAATGGAGTGCAGCAATGTGCAATCTTGCATACTGTCTGCGGGCATTAAAATCAATTTATGCAAAAATGTATTCGAAATCGATTGAAGTCAGCTAGCTAGCCACAAAAAGGGGAGTTTTAACAGTTCGAAATTAAATAATATACTAAATATTCGTTGGATCTACCTGGAATACCTACTAAATAGCACCTTAAATCGAGATAGAAACTAAAAATTACACCATAGTTACTCGTATCGGTTCCTAATATATCACTTATCGCGAATAGATTTATTTGAGCTAGACAATGGGCGCATATAATATATAAAGATACAATTTAATAGATAAGCGAACACTAAAGAATATTTTTTATGCAAAGTATTGCTTGGAACTCTTTGAGCTCCTCTCTCTTTTGCCTTGATCGACCAGGATGCCAGCCGGACCAAGTGACGGGACAAAAACATTTGTTAACACTTTAACGAGTTATGATTTGGCCAGACTCTACTCATAGCTCCTAGCTCTCCTAGCTCACAACTCCTTACTCCTAACCGCTTCCCCAGCCACAGCTCAGATGCCTGCCGGCCATTTGGGGGGCAATTAAAGTTGCACTTGTAAAAGTAAATTGATACGGCACTCAATCATTTGCCTCCGCAACCTCTCTCTTCTTCCACAGCCCCTCGACTAGATCCCAACAATAACAACGAGTGGCGTCCCCTTGGTCACGGGGATCCCCTGCAGAAGGATCCCACCTATGACTACAGTCCTCCGGCCTGGATCGAGTGCGTTACTGGGCGGAAAACAACAGCACGGGTCAGAGTAATCCAGAGGCCAGGAAGAAGGAACTGCCGCCGGAGGTGCTACGCAACAAGACCAAGAGTGAGGTGCTGCTATTAGGTGTGGCCAGCGACCGGGTGAGGGTGCCGCATTCACATTCCTATCCGCCGGTTGGACTGGGACAGAGTCACCACCAGCAATACAAGCACCAGCACCAGCACCAGCATCAGGAGCAGCAGCAAGCGAAATATGCGGCCATCAGGAGAAGCTATTATGCGCCAACGCAAAAGCAACATAGTGCACCAATGTTGCATCAGGCTCAGCATATTCAGCACCATTCCCCGATTCCGCAGCAGGCACAACATATGCCGCACACCCACTTGATGCCACCACCCATGATGATGGTGAAATCAAGCGGCCCCTCTGTGCCCCATCTGGAGTACAGGCACAGTATGATGGCCACAGGAGCACCCACATCTTACATGAGCCTTAGTCACACGATGAGCTCACCTGCGCCCAAACCGGCCATGACCTCTTCGGTGATTTATCACCAGCCCGCAATGGGTCACTACTCCTCCTCACCATCCTCAGGATCGTCGTCAACTCCCTGGCTAAGCAGCATGTCCAGCATGCCGCCACATCGTTTTAGCTACTCAGATCCACATCTTCAGGAATCTATGCATGCCTTCAGCTACTCGAGACCCCATCCAGCGCAACAGGTTTCTTACTCCCCCAACTCTCTGCCTGGACATCAGAGCGGATCAAAGGCAGGTCTGCGAAAGCCTTGGCTACATGAACTGCTCCAAAAAGAGGTGGTGATGAACAAGCCAAAGGTTAAGCCCACGATGCCTGCTACCAAGTACCTGATGGGCACAACTAAACCTCATCATCCTCTGCCGCCGGCTGGCTTTGGAATCAGCTCCACCCGGCCTCCATTTACCTATGCTCCCGTGACTTTTGTGCCTGGACCGCCCACCATTGCAGTGCCCACAGTGGCCACCAGACAGGAGGCACAGCAGGAGATCTACATCACACCCACGCCGCAGACAAGTAGCTCTGGCTTCAGACCCATGCTGGTGACCAGCTCGACAACTACGTCCACTACATCGACTCCCTTGCCCATCTATCAGCGAACCAGCCCCACCAGTCCCAGCACAACGAGCAACCGATTGCTGATTCCCCAGACAAGTAATCTGGCCCAGCGACCCACAGTGGCTCCAGCGCCAAGTGAACCCACCACCGATTCGCTTTTCTCCCATTATAAACAGCCACCGAAGCCCCTGCTGGGGCCCATGTATCTCATCATCGAGGGTCACTCCAAGGTGAAAACCTATGGCCAAAACGAATTGGATCCACATAGTCCAAAGATAGTGCCGGTTATCTCCAAGCGGGAGCCTGTGGTTAGAATAGCCGATCCCAACGAGAAGAGGGGAACAGTTGAGTCCTACCAAGTCAAGCACTTGCACACCAAAACCACACCCATGACAACGACAACAACAACCACACGAAAACCTACAACCAAAAAGCCTAAACCAACGGATGCTCCCTTAGCTCCTGTTTTTACCCCTACCAAGGCTCCCGAATCTACAAAGGCTCCTACGACAACTTCTACTAAAGCTCCAGTTAGCAGTACTACTTCCAAACCCACTGCAGCATCGACCTCAAGAGCTCCTGTCAGTAGTGCGGCTCCCTTGATTAAATCAGAACCCAAGCCAGAACCTGCCAGTGAAGTCAGTGATCTGTTGAGCTTGCTGGACAATATGTTTGCCGATGCTCATGAAATCGCTGCTTCCACTGATTCATCTCTACAAGTACATCCCACCACGAGCACCGTCCTCAAGCCAGTTAGTACCAAGTTGATGCCCCACCAACCGGAACCAAGGATTGGCAGCAAGGCGGGGAGCATAGAGAGTCTGCTCGAAGACGCCCCAGCGGATGATGGAGCTGGCAAAGATCCAGGGTCACAGATTTCCACTGAGACACCACCGCGAGCAACGCGTCAGGTCTTTGACTATGATCAATTACCAGAGTCACGGATCAAAGACGGGGTCACCGCCAGCGATGTTATGGAGTACAATGATGACGAGGAGCTGGGCTACGAAGAGGAGAATGATGAGACGGCCACCGATGGTCAGTTGGAAGATGAGGAAGACCAGGAGGAGGAGGCGGAGGCGGAGGGAGATCCCGAGCACAACTTACTCAAACGCATCGATCAGTTTGTGGACGATGTGGATGACGGCGATGATGATCTTGAGGATCTGATCGAGGGCCTGGACGACAGCGAGGGAATCGAAGAACGGCGACAGCAGCATTAGCCCAGCTAAGCATTTTTCTTAAACTGCGCTCTATACCAAATCTATCATCAGAAAGTCTTTCTCACGCCTAATACATACGTTCTTGTACATAAGTCAGCTTTAATTCAATCTGTATTTATTCGTTGTTAGTTCTTAAAGGCCCTGCTGGTCACAATGTCACAATGTGACCCCTTTCCAGCCCCACACCCAATGCAATTCGAGCAAAGAGTTTTCGTTGTGTAATTAAGCCTTAAATTATGAAAATTTTCTTACGTTTTGATTAGTTTTTTAAGTCTATAAGAATTGAAAAATAAATGCGAAAATTTAAACAAAACCTCTTGCAGCGCCATCTAAGCAGGTAAGCTTAATAAAGTAGCGCCATCTGTCGGTTGTGAGGTGAAGCTTGCGTTAAGCTTAAAAAAAAAAAATTAAAGCATATATTTGTCAAAAATTAATTAAAGCAAACTATTTTATGCGAAACCTTATTTTCAAACACATAAAAAATTTTTTTTATACCTCTTAAGACGGTATTATAATTTTAATCAGTGAAAGACTCATTTCCGACCCTATAAATCATATATATTCTTGATCAGAATCAACAGGAGTATCTATCGGAACAAAAAATAAAATTTGCGAATTTTTTGAAACATTTTTAAGGGTTACATCGTTAAAATTGTCAAGAATTGACAAAAAAAAATTGCAATTATTTTAAATATTAAATTTAGTATGCAGATTTATTAAGCTTTTGAAAACTACCACAGAGCAGTTTTCCATATTAAAATTAATGCATTTTTGGCTTAGTTATGAACAAATAAACTAGTGTGTATACGTAATTTTTTTGGGACTGCGATGGTTTTTTCAAACCTTGATTCCTTACTTGAAATCTTACTTAATTTTACTAATATCTTAAGATTCATATTTACCTATCTTTACCAAAACATCGATATTCACTAACGTAAGTATTTAGGATTAATTAAAAGTCATTTGCTCTTAGCAGCAATTTCTTTTTTTTTAATATGCAATAAGTATTATAAATCAAATTCTTACTACTAAATTAAATAAATATAAAAGCCTATTTTATATATTTTTAAAAAATCCGCCCAAAAAAGCTTATTTCCAAACTTATCGATACTTTTCAGGCCGCTAACGATAACGATAACGAGACCTCGCATTGTTTATTTCCAATTGGATTTTCCAAGCGCCAGTTCCAAACTCGCCGTCGAATCGGACGGTTTCCAGTGCGTGACACCGAAACTATTCTAGTTGGACGTACCGTGAAAATTAGCAAATTGAATTAAATTGTGTGTGCTGTTTTGCAAAGAATAGTGTATTATTAACCAAGGCAACAACAACAGTAGACGCCTCAAGTTCACACAGCTCAGGTGCGAATAATGATTAAGTGCGATAGCCTTTTTTCGGTGTTTTTTTTATTGTTTACGATCACGAGATTCTCGTTCATTCTCCTTTACCTCTCTCTTTCACTTTCGCTTTTGTTTGGAGTAATGAACTTGAACGAACGAAGAGGAAGAACTTAAAATGCAGTTGGACAAAACGGAAATGTGTTTACCAGAAAAAAAAGAAACAAAAATAACAACAAGTGAAACAAGAAGCACGTGCGGTTAGCGTCCAATTTAAGTGACTCAATTTATATGAACGATAAGAGGAACAGCAGCTGAGCTGATAAACAAAAAGAATAACAAATCGTATATAATGCGATGGAGGAGAGTGTATTCATAAATTAGTGAAACTATCTCCGCTCCTGTCCGCTGTGACTTGATGATAATGTCTATAGCTAAATGTGTGTGCATATATTTGCCCAGAGACTATATAACCTTGATCCGGGCATTGCGTCGCGGCCTGAGGAAATCAGAAACATTTCCGAAATGCGGCGTCGCCGCGCCGCCAAACAGTAAAAAACTCAAAACTAAAATAAAAACCAAACAAACTTTTAGGCCAATAAACCGGTTCATGCTAAAATCCAAACAGAGAATGTCTCTCCTTCTGATCAGAGATAAAAGGCCCAACAGAGAAAGAGAGATCGAGAGAGAGAAAACAATGTGTGAACTGGTTGGAAAAACAAATTCCATTGCAATTAGAAAACGCCAGCTGAGCGATTTGTTCTGCCTTTTATCAGTCTCAGCGACGCCCGGCAAATGTCAGACTCCGACTGATAACACCATTATTTTATTTTCGTCTGATTGGAAGAATAGAGCCGGCAAATTTAGTTTATTTTTCTCTCGAAATTTTTATGCCAGCGGGATGTATACTTTTTTGGCTCATGTTATTATTAATAAATAATAGACTAATAAAATAAATATAATTATATGTGCATTGAGAGAATTTAGTTCTATTCTATTAAAATAATGAAATAAAAACTACAATATCTAAAGAAAATATTAATATTAAATAATTATACAAATATAAATATATTTGTGAAAGTTTTTTTTTTAAATATCCATGTATTTATATATGTTCTCAGGGTTGAACCTATTAGCCTAAAACGTTTCGAAAAATAGCTGAGATTTTTAAGGGCATTGCATATTCTTGAATTTACCATAAACAAGTCAGCATACTTTGTATATAGTATGTATTTTCGACCTTTAGAATTTGGACCGTATTTTGTCTGCACCCGGATTACATTGTAAGGGGGCAAGGGAATTATGATTAGGAATGGCCCAGCACCGCCAGACATGTCTGCCCGGCATCGTGATAAGAGACTAGCCGGCTTATGCAATCCCGTAGTGTTTGTGAACCGCTGCATTGATAACCTTTATCAATCGGAAGAAGCCAGCCTGTTCAAGCTCTCAGTTAAGTTACTGACCTACTTTTATCGCTGCAACGAAGAGTTCTTCTTACCATTTACGGCGGCAACCGGTTCAAGCACTAATTACTCGAACCGATCGAGTAAAAATGATCCCCACTTAAGTGTCTGGAATATTTGTATAATGTTAAGGTCGAATAGGTTTTTAAATTATATGCTGGTAGTATATTAAATATAAATCAACAGTAAGCTCTGGCTAAACAAACTGAAGAGAGCTATATGTTAAAAAAAAGAATTTAAAAAAAGATAAGTGCTTCGGTCCGCCCCCACCGAAAACGTTTTAAATATAAACCGAAAGTTCAACAAACTAATCGTCAAACCGCAGCGGCAATTCAATTCAGGTTCGGTTCCCTTTACCACATGCGGGTTACATGTGTGTGCACATACCCATGCCATACAGCCACGGTCAAAATAATAGATCCAAAAAGGTCAATTTGAATTCTTCTTAGAAATTGTAAAATTATATTGTTATACATTCTTTATTTTCCATAAAAAGAAGTATTTTTTCGCGTATATAGATATTTAATATATCTTTATATTTGGTATCAAGAATAAACCATAACGATCTTGTATAATTTTTTAAGAGGTTATAAATATCACGTCTTAAAAGTGTTCTATTTACTTGGCCTTAAAGTAATTTGAAGAATATATATAATTCTATATGCATGTTTTACTGTATCTCTCGGATTGCCTGCATTTACTTCTGGAAATGGAGGCTCTTTCTCCCTCAAGCCTTGTAATTACTCATCATTCCGGTGATGAGACGCAACGAGGCCTCGACTTCGAGTTCTTGATGGCTTTGCGTCACGGTGACTCGACTTAAATCATTCTGCATTATATATACATACTTCTATATAAGATCGGAATGCAAGTCGTTCTTGCACTTGTATCAGTTTAACATACTGGAATATTGTGTTAAAGTTAGTTGTCAACAGAATACTAAGTACACAATGCGTGAAAATATTCCACTAAATATTGTGATTACAGAAAATCTGTAATGGGAAAAATACCCAATAAAATAAATGACAAAAAGCATACTGAAAGAATGTTAATTCTTAAACTAAGGAGCTCTGCCAAGTAGCTATACAAAGGCACTTTAACCTTATTTTCCATATTTGTTTATATGCATGCGATAAGCCGCGATAGTAATCGAACTTTGATGTCAAATAAACAAGTTATCAACAAACTACTTGTATAAAACCATTATGAAATAAAATAGGAATCAAATTGGTTTCTTCATATGACGTAGATATGGTTACTCAAGAATTTATTCACACAGATAACCCACAGATTTCGTCATTGATATTATATTTGCGTTTGCTAAAGTCTACATTTTAAATAATTGCTGCAACAGCAATTTTCTAATCGTTTTAAATAAAAAAACCTATAAGTATTAAGCTTCAACAAAACGGGAAGCTAAGTTCGGGAAGCCGAGGATTGTGTACCCTTGCCAAGGCCGAAGTTAAATTAAATCATAACTAATTCAAAAAAGTATTTATTTCTTAATATTTTATCATTAATTAATAAGGATTTTTAATGTGAAACCTAATATATATGATTTATAGGGTCAGAAATGACTCTTTCATCGATAAAAATTATAAAACCCTCTGCAAGGAGGAGTCTATACTATTTTGATCCACTTTATTCAAAACCTTATATTTTCCTAAACCTGAAAAGTAAAAACAGACTCATCAGGTGTAGGAAAATATAAGGTTTTGAAGTAAGTGGATTAAATGGAATGACATCTGGAATAAAATCATGACAAAGATAATGTGATGCCCTTACTTGATCGTTTTGTTGACATGCGATCTTGACTCGTACTGGGGTAGCTAATGCCAAGTACGATCATAGCCTTTTGGAAACTAGTTTTACATGATTCAAGTGAGAAGTTGTTGGCTCGACCTAACCACATTATCATTAGCTAGGTTCGAATGTCTCTACGAATCGGTATCTGATTACCTCATCAGCAATCTCATTGCTCGATGAACTTTGACCACAATAACCGCGGAAACTGCGTGCTGCTGGACCCATCATTTCTCAAATACAGTGGGGCTCAGCACTATTCAATTCATATTTATAAAAGAGCTGGTATTCAAAAACATAGACTATAATTTGGTTTTCCACATGAGTTATTTCAAATTATAGCTTAAGCCCAATTTCATATTTAAAATAATTAATTCATCGCTTTCAAATTAAGCTAAGAAGTGGTAAATATTTACCAAAGATATTTTTTTATTTTATTTACATTCACTTCTTATCGGAGTTGTATATTTTTTAATGGATTAAGAGCTACCGTACAGCTTTGACTGATTATTTCCACCTTAATTGCAATCTGAGTTATTTCTGGGTCAAATAAGAAGTACTTCAAATCTTATCTTATCGCACTCATGCATATTCAATGGCAAAAAATAGGGTCGGATAAGATTGGCCTATAACTAAAGAATAATTACCAATAATTTAAATTGTTTATAGTGCAGGCCCAGTAAATCATGACAACAAATAAGGATCCCCAAGACAAGGGCTCCGCAAAAACGGAGCAGGTGAAAAATGGCACATCTGGAGGAGTGGGAATCATGAAGCGCCTGAGAAGATCAGCATCGGCCACAGAACATAATCTAAGCAGTCTAAGAAACCGGAAATCCACCCAGAATCTGTTCGATCAGCATGGCAATCCCATTGATCTGCGGCAATATCGTAAAGTTTTGGATAAGGATGAGAATGGCAATGGAATGAACGGATCAGAAAAGAAGCTGCGGTATAGAAGAACCCAAAGTGTGACCCGGGCAGAGGAAATATCCAACAAGGAGGAGAAACAACGGAGGGCGCAACCAGGCAGACCGTGAGTAAAAAAGCCTGGAGATCATATTTAAATCTAATCAAGCTTCATGTCTCTTAAAGGATCCACCGGCCGCGAGACTCCCTGTTTTCCTGGAGCTCTGGCTTCACCAACTTTACGGGCCTGGTGAACTGGGGCTTCCTGCTGCTTTGCATTGGTGGGTTGCGCCTGGGTCTGGAGAATTTGCTCAAGTAATGTCTGATAATATATCCCAACCGAATACCTATTTTATTAACACATTTTTCAATCCCTAGGTATGGCATTCGCATAAATCCACTGGACTGGTTCTTTTTCATTAGTGGTCACAATGAGGGCGAAGGTCATAATGCCCTCATCCTAAGCATTTGTAAGTTACGAAAAAACTAAAAATCTACCCACCTACAAGGATATTATTTCCTTTTTAGATTCTCTGGTTCACATATCCCTGTGCCTGGCGGTGGAGAAAGGTCTTGCCATGGTAAGTACTCACTTTGATAACATCTTACTGCTGATTTGTTTGATCGCGTTCTGACCCACGACAATATCTTGAGCATAATGGGTGTGTAGAGTTATTGATGGTAAAAAGGATGCTACTCGAAAGTGCAGTGCATTAAATATGCTTAAATTTAAATATAGTTTCCTACTAAAATATAGACAATTTGGAAAAACTGAGGTATATTGTAGGCTACTTTGACAAAATAAGCTTTGATCATTTGAGGTTGAATCGTAACTAACACAGTTTTCCTTTCGTAAAGCAAACAGTTTCTTAGACTCATCTTGCACCTACATTAAATTTAATAATTAAACAAAACTTTAATTAGAATCTCAGAGAAACAAAATGGTTAATGGACAAATATAACTATTTATTGTTTATAAAATACAAACATATATGAAACAATTTTTGTATGACAATAATAAATGGAACATGTAGTTAGCGACACAGGATGGGGATATTTACGAGTTGCGAATGTATGGCGAGGTTTGCTTGAGGTCTTATTCAGGCTATGCGAACGCCAGCCTGATCGCAATATTTCTGAAGAATTTGCTTATACTCCGGCGGAAGGGAAGACATCAAGTTGGGCAACTCACCAACACGTGTCTGCGAGAACTTGAAGAGCGAGGTGGCCAGAAACTGCCGGGCGTCGCTAATTTCCGCTAGATGATCATGCAGCTTGGGTTGAGCATTGGTGAGTTGGGCGAAAGCGACTTGATAGCCACCATCGCCATCATCAGACCCCACAGCAGCCTCTCCTCCATCGAAGGCTGGCTCGGCCGGTCGCTCAAAGAGATCGATGAGTGCTTGAAGCAATTTCGGCCAAAAGCCGGCGTATTGCGGCTGGAACATTTCCGGAGTTTCAGTAAGGAGCTTTGATGTACCAACTGCTACCATTTTACGATCCAGCTCCTTCACGATCTTGCCCATATCGGTTATAAACACGCGATCCAGCAACATGCCAAACATACCGGGCTGAATCTCGTCAATTAGCTGTGCCAGCTGTCCGCCACTGTATTTGATCACATAGAAGGAAAAGAAGACGATGATCCCAGTGATATACTTGGGCGTCTTCGATAGCGACAAGCGCTGGAAGAGCAGGGCAAAGATCTGACGCATGCTAGCTTCGATTTCCGCTGCTGGATAGTAGGAGAGGAGATTCTGCAGTAGGTAAAAGCCTTCGTGATCGTTGGCCTTTGAGGCAATCATCTTTTGGAAAATGCCAAGAATTCCGTTCTGTGAAAGGCAAGATTATTTGATATTTCATTCAAAACTAGCCTTAGTGTACTTACCAATTTCCCTGATGCCTGAATTTGTGCTGAACCTTGCTTTATGAAAGCAGAGATAAGGCGTATCAAGGGCGTGACATTGCCAGTGCGATCCCACAAAGCTGGGGCCAACAGGCATGGGAACAGGGCCCAATAGGGCTCCGGTATAGATCCAGTGCCTTCCCGCACTTCCAGCAGCACCGAAAGCATTTGAAAGACGTAGGGCATAAATTCGAGAATATCCTGCTGCAGGATGCCTTGGAAAACAGGGAACAAAGCCTCCTCAAACGAGCTTACAGCCGAGGCTTCAGCCTGACAAACAATTCTGTAGGAAAAACCAATCAATAACAGTTTCAAAAGCCAAAAATGTTATAACTTACTTAATGGAGAGAGCCAGTGTTTCGAATAGATAGTGATTGAAATGTGGACGAGATGGATTCTTGGCCACCTGGGTGAGGATCTCAGTGAGTCGTGGGAGCGCCACACCCATAAAAGGCATAGATGCCGATTGCAAAACAGAGAAACTACGCATGATAGCTACAAAAATAAAATTGGTTTAGCAGCTTATATAAAAAAAGAAAATCGCAAATCTGTAACTCACCCTTCATCACATACTCATTCTCTGCGGATCCTGGCAGTGAAAGAGTGGCGAACAATCCATTGATGAGTTCATTTGAATGTGGTCCCAACACCTGAGGGCCAAATACGATTGCTTTGTTGGCATCGCGCATGGTTAGGATCTTTTCCACGGAGCAGGCGGCGTAGCTATGAACCACAATGCTTTCGGCAGGCAAATGCCGGATCAGCTGTGGCAGACAGCTGGCTAGGATTTGTGGGCCCAAAATGCTGCGGAACACCATAATATACTTGATGGCAGCAGCCTTTAGAACTGGGATTTCGTTAACTGCAAGAAACAGGGATTAGATTTCTTAGTCTAATGGGAATATTCAATGTTTTCCACTTACTGTTAGGCCTCTGCAACTCTGGAACAATCTGCTGGGCACAGAACTCAGGTAGGGGAACCAACTCTGAGGTCTGGGTGATGCCATGTTTCTGGGTTCCGCCTCGTGATGCCCACGAGGTGACCAGATAAATAGCCGTATCCTTCGATCTCCAATTGACTGCTGGATTCTCCTTGTATTTGGTCAGCAATATCTCCAGGTACTGCCCAAAGATACCGAATATCTTTTGCTCAAAGTTAATAGATAGGGTCTTGACCAGATCACAGGCAGCCGACGTCGTGTATCGATGTCAGAGCCCTCGATATCCCGGCGAATATACTCCTCCGGACTGTCCTCAAATATTTCCTCATCTGAGGGCCGGATGTCCAGGTTTGGAATGACCACTTTATCGCAGATACGTGCCAAAATCTCAGGGTTCTCGAAAATGCTCTGATAGTGCTTCCGCTCAGCCACCACCGAGAGAAATTGCAGGGCATGGGAAACCAACTGGGTGAGGGATTTAGGTATTAGTTCATATATTTCATATTCAATGGGAAAAACTCACCGCATCGTATTTGGTTTGCAGACTGGTCTTGACCAGCAACTCCCAGACTGCAGTCACGAATTGCTCCATGAAGGGCTTGAACTCTTCGTCGTATTTCTTGGCATAGAGGCAAATGTTCTCGCAGACCTGAGTGCGTAGGTGCTCCAGAACACCGGCATCCTCGTCGTCAGCCGTGCGCAGTGATGGCACATCGGCAGCCAACTGCTGGATAAACGCGCCCATCCAAGTGTTCATATTATCCTCAAAAAACTCGGGCAAATCCTGAGAGTTCAGGGAATAAAAAACCTTGTTCACCAGGACTAAAGATCCGTAGATAACTTTCAATGCCTCCGGATTGTTCTCGTGCACCTTGGTTAGCTGCATGGTGGCCTGGAGGAGATCCGTCAATGGCTTAGCCATGCGGTCCAGCACGAATTTGATCTCCTCCCACAATGACTGGGACTTAAACTCGTAGCGATAGCGCTTGAACAGCGAGTGTGCCGTTTGCAAAACGCCGTTGATCACATTAAAATCGCCAGATGCGAATCTCTCCACCATCTCGTCGATGAGCTGCGGCCATTTTTTCGGAAAATCATGCTTGCCAATGATGCTGACCGCGTCGCTGAGTTGCTTTTGCAGCGCCACCGGCGAATGAAGCATCAGGGTTACGATAAGCGACTTGATTGTATTCCGATCACTTTCGTGGATCCGATCCGGTCCATCGCTGTCCTCGTGCGCCGCCCAATTCCGCTTCACATAGTTCTTAAAGGCAATGGCTCCGGCCACCCGCGTGGTCATATCCATTTGGGCTTTGTCAATCAGGTTGAGCAGCAGCACCGGATAGTTCTGCTGCAGTTCCGTGGACTCCAGGAGTTTTTCGGCTGTAGAATGGTGTGAATAGGGAAATATTAATCATTATAATGTTTCAATGTGTAGATTGGAACTAACAACTTTTGCGATCTCCATAAAACTTGGCATAACCTCTAGGACACGTTATATTTTGCAAACTAGATAGCGGTTATATTATTTCTAATCAAAACTAGGGGAAACATGGGAATGAGGATCAATTTAACTTGTTCAATCCCCCTAGAAAACTGTTAATAACCTTCAAAACAATTTCAAAAACATCAGTTTGCAATTCTTAGAGGCGTCGCCAATATCATTTCCCGCGCACGCACACATCGACGCGGCTGCACGCATGTGCATTTGTGTGCGTGCACACACATTCCCCTACACTCTTACCCGGCCGGCGGACATTTGGATCGGCACTCAGCGTCTGCTGCAAATAACCGGCTAGCAGCTGCAGATTTGCGTCAGTTACTTCCATTTTTCCTTAGCTTTGATTGGTGGAGTCGTTCTAATATTAATAATATCACTGGTCTTCAGGTTTCTTAATTCTTTTTCTTTCGAAATGAAATGAAATCTCAATCACTTTTTGCACACTTAGTGTGACCGGAGCTTCTGTGCAAAAAAATACTGCAGCGCCTCGATATATATCGAACCGTCCATATGGCTCGCGGTGGGGAACTTCGATATGTATTTGGCGCGGTGTCCAATCATTCAAAATATAAATATTTCAAAATATTTAAATAATTTTCAGGAAATAATTGCGGAAGGCCTGGGACTTTTCATCCAAATAGTTAACATTATCGTGCTGGTTTGCCTGCCCGTGGTTACAATTCACCTCAAAGGACACGCCTTCAGTTTGAGTAAGTTATACTATATTAATTTATAAAGGAACTCCTTTAATATCCTTTTTCAGTGGGCGCCTCAACCGTTTGCTTCTTTTATTCGGTGCTTTTCTTGAAGCTCTGGAGCTACGTGCAAACGAACATGTGGTGCCGTCAAACGTACTATCAGAAAAATCCCGAGAGCGGCGGCCTAGCATTACTTTAGCGGAATTAAGTGAGTAAATAACACTTTAAATAAGTTAATAAATAATAAGTAAAATTCCTTATTAGAAAATGGAGCCTTGGATGATGGGGAGGAAGATGAGGCCATTTCCAAGTTGGTCCAGTATCCCGATAATCTAAAATATAGCGATCTCTTGTACTTCCTCTGTGCTCCGACTCTGTGCTACGAGCTGAATTTTCCCCGAACTTCGCGCGTGCGTAAACGTTTCTTGCTCAAGCGTTTGCTGGAGGTTGTGATTGGTGTGAATGTGGTGATGGCCTTGTTCCAGCAATGGATCATTCCTTCGGTGCGCAACTCCCTGATTCCTTTCTCCAACATGGATGTGGCGCTGGCCACCGAGCGACTACTTAAGCTGGCGGTTAGTAAATGAGAATTATCCCCTTCAATTGACTATAATATGCCTTTCCTTAGCTACCAAATCACCTGGTCTGGCTGTGCTTTTTCTACCTTATGTTCCACTCCTTCCTGAATGCGGTGGGCGAACTTTTAAACTTTGCCGATCGTAACTTTTACTGTGATTGGTGGAACGCCAATAATATTGACACCTTTTGGAGGACCTGGAATATGCCGGTGCATAGGTGGTGTGTGCGTCACCTCTATATCCCTGTCGTCCAGATGGGTTACTCTTCGCGCCAAGCCTCGACCATAGTGTTCCTCTTCAGTGCCTTCTTCCACGAATATTTGGTAGGAATTCAATATATATAAAAATATGGGTGTAATTTTACTAATGTAATCTATTTACAGGTCTCTGTTCCACTGCAAACCTACAAGATCTGGGCCTTTATGGGCATGATGGGTCAGATACCCCTTTCGGCGATCTCCAAATACATCGAGAAGAGGTTTGGTCCTCGAATGGGCAACATAATCGTTTGGGCATCTATTATTCTCGGTCAGCCTCTGTGTATAATGGCCTACTATCACGATTATGTGGTCCAGCATTTTAAGAACTCACTCAACGGCACCGACTACGCCAGCTAGATTTAAAAAATCATTAATATTGGGTTATAGATTGCCACTGGAATATGTCTGCACACTGGTCTGGTTCCGGTCCGTGTACTTTTTTAAATTTATAAGCCAGAACGCAAGTTATGAAGAAAGAAACTTGTGATTGCCACTATACAAAACAGATTTTGTATGACTTTTGCACATGCATGTAGTACTGATGAACACAAACACATAGATTGTTATTGAATAATGCATTTGTTAATGAATTTAAGTGTCATGTAAATAAATAAAACAAATTATAAGCTAATTTTCCTTTTAATAATCAAGAAAATAATAAATGCTGTAAAATAATTTAAAATTTGACATGATTGTAAAAACAGTACGCGATAGTTTGTCACGAGCAGCCAAAATGGCTTATTGTCCAGCTATCGCTACGGTCACACTGATTCCCAGACAAGCCAAAACAGTGACATTTTTTTTCTAGTTTCTGTGCTTAAATTGTCTACTGGTTAAAGGAAAATTCCGATCGGTCTCCGGTGACAATAGACTGTCTAACTACGGCGTAATTGTGGCCCCACAATCGATCCAATTGCTGCGGTACGTTCTTGAGTAATTGGCAATCTTTTCATCGGCGTTTTCGCGACGCCCGGCACATACACGCACACACTTGGTATTGTGTATGTGTGCAGTGTCTGATTGTGAGTGCGCCAGTGTATGTGTGTGTGTGGTTCGTGCTGGGTCCGAATTATTTTTTCTAAATATCGCACTGCCGCATGAGGCTAAGAAATCGGCTTAAAAAATATGTTATTAATTTCTAGGACTCTTTGGCGAAGTCACCAGCGACTGCAACTGCACCAGCAACTTGTGCACAGTGCGGTCAGCGGCGTAACATCGTCGGAAAAGGGCTTTCGGAATCGGAGCACCCCGAGCTCATTGGAAGAGCCGGTTGATTGTGGTCACGTAAGTGCTCGTGATTCAAATCCAAAAGGAGAGCGCCGCTCCATGAATAATTCCAAATTGCTGTTGCAGATAATGAGTGGCAGGTATCGTGGTGGCAGCGGTGGACGCTATGGCGGCGGTGGTGGAGGCCGCGGCGGAGATGGCTACGGCGGTGGCGGTGGCTACAACGATTTCGACAATTTCCGCGGCGGCGGTGGAGGTGGTCCGGTATTTAATGACAACTTCGGACCCGGTCCCGGCCCAAATCCTTTCAACAGTAAGTACCATTTATGGGAAAACTTCGTAATTACCACCATTAACATTATTATTTCTTGGTATGTCTAGTGGGCGGCCCTCCCAACATTTCCGGCAACGAGCTGATGCAATTAATGAGTGCTATGGCCAGCAACTTCAACATGAACTCACAGCCCCCACAACCGATGCGTCAGAGTTGCGGCGAATTGCGCAATCACCACTGTGGTCTCTTTGTGGAGCTATCTGGCAGGCTGATTAAGAAGCGGGTTAACCGCTTTGCAGAGCTTCGGGATCGTAACGGTGGTGCCTGTCAGCTGGTGGTGCTGGAGGACAAGCATCCGCGGGTGGCACGGCGCATGAACAACATGCCCGAAAACACCACGCTAACAATTGTGGGCCAGGTGATGCGCCGTCCACACAATTCGTGCAATCAAACTATGCCCACGGGTGAGATTGAGGTGGAGGTGCAGGACATCCTCAACATTCACTTCCCGACCAGCGGCACAAAACGGGCTGGAGACAAGCGCACTTACAGCACCATGGTACAGCAACAAAGCAACCTGGGCATCACCAGCACAGAGTACAAGATAGCCAGTGAGTAGGTACCTTTTATATACCTAATAGGTTAAATTAACACAAAATTCTTACTTTCAGAAAACGAGAACATATTGAAGTACTTTGAGAACCGCGATATCACCTGCAACGACCTGAGGCGCGACGATATTGGCAAAGAGGTCACCCTAGTGGGTTGGGTTCCCTCAACAAAGAACAACAAATTTCTGCAGCTTAAGGATGGCTATGGCCAGACGCAACTCATGATCGAGGACCAGGCGGTACGTGTACACTTTTTGTGTAATTTGTACACCATTAAACAGCTTCTCCTTTAGCTCAGCGATACATTTTTGTCCACGCCAGAGCAAACAGTGGTTCAGATCGTCGGTAAAGTTCTGGGCAGACCTAAGGCCAATATAAACTTGGTAAGTTCAAATATAGAATCCGTGAAAACTAAGATTAAATAAATATAATTAAATTCAAGAAATATGACACTGGTGAGGTGGAGGTCAGTGTGTCTACCGTAAAAATCCTCAATCCGGACGATCCCTACGAAGGCCCCATTAAGGCCAAGGAGAAGCAGCAAAAGCTCTCTATCGATGATCTCGAGTCCGAAGAGACTGGCGCTGAGGTTTCTTCACGGGTCAGCACCAATAACGGAGAGTCCAAGGAGGATGTAGCGGACACAACCCACTCCGCAAACCTCTCCGCAAGTGCCGAGCAGCGAGTCAAGATTGCGGATACCAATAAGTTCGCCGATCGCACACACAATTGCGGTGAGCTATCATCCAATGACATCAACGAAAAGGTCGTCATTTGCGGCTGGCTGGAGTTCCAGAGGATGAATAAGTTCTTCATACTCCGGGACGCTTATGGCCAAACTCAGGTTCTCTTGCTACCCAAAACCACGGGTCTGGAGGAATATGTGGAGACGGGCGTGCCCATCGAGTCGATTGTGCGTGTGGAGGGTACGGTGATACCTCGGCCAGCGGCTACGATTAATCCCAAAATGCAAACCGGCCACGTTGAGGTCGAGGCCGATAAGGTGGTCGTGCTCAATGCCGCCAAGAAGAACTTGCCATTCGAAATCAGGAAGTTTAACCGCGCCGGTGAACGCTTGAGACTTACTCATCGCTACCTGGACCTGCGATTCAACGACATGCAGCACAATCTCCGCCTTCGATCGGCTGTTATAATGAAGATGCGAGAGTATCTTATTAACTATTTGGGTTTCGTTGAGGTAGAGACCCCAACGCTCTTCCGACGCACACCCGGCGGAGCGCAGGAGTTTGTGGTGCCGACCAGGAAGGCGGGACACTTTTACTCGCTCGTACAGAGTCCACAGCAGTTCAAGCAAATGCTGATGTCGGGCGGCATAGACAGATACTTCCAAGTGGCTCGTTGCTACAGAGATGAAGCCACCCGTCCCGATCGTCAGCCGGAGTTTACACAATTAGACATAGAGCTCTCGTTCACCAGCCGCGACGACATCATGCAGTTGATAGAGGAGACCTTGCGTTACTCGTGGCCAAAAGATTTTCCCCGACTTCAAACTCCCTTCCGCCGCATAACCTACGAAGAAGCACTGGAAAAGTACGGCATAGATAAGCCAGATACTCGTTTTGGCTTCCTCCTCAACAACGTTTCGGAAATAATTGAAAAGAGTGGAAACTTTAAGGAAAAATACGAGGATTTCGGTGCTTATGCCATTGTCGTGCGGGCCAGCGAAGCCTTTTGGAATGGCAATGCCCGGAAGCATTATGACAGCCTGAGCAAGTTGTTCAAGGGCACGTTATTCGTGCGCAAGTTTGGAGCCGCGAAGGATGTGCAGGAAAAGCTGGGCAAGCTGCTTGGCGAGGAAGTAGCCAACGAAGTCGCTGAGAAGTTCGATCTGGAGGAGAATGATCTACTTTTCTTGGGCATCGGACCAAAAGAGGAAACGGTGAGTTTAGTTTATATATTATTGATATGCGATAAGCAATTGTTCACTATTATTTATAAAGCGCACATTGTTGGGTCGTATTCGACTGGATTACCACGAGTTTCTGGTGGAGAACGCCAAGGTGAAGAAGCCAAATGACTTCCGATTCCTCTGGGTAATCGACTTCCCGCTGTTCGAGCGAAACAGTGAGACCAAACAGTTGGAGAGCGTGCACCATCCATTCACGCTCCCACACGCCGATGATCTTGACAACTTTGCCACCAGTTGCGAAAACCTGGAGACCATACGCTCCCAAGCTTACGACTTGGTGCTCAACGGCCAGGAAGTCGGAGGCGGCTCCATTCGGATACACGATCGCGACATGCAACACTTTATTTTAGAACAGATTCTAAAGATCCCACACGACCACTTGTCGCATTTATTAAGCGCCTTGGAATCGGGCTGCCCACCGCATGGCGGCATTGCCCTGGGCCTGGATCGTCTGATAGCCATCTTATGTCGGGCTCGATCCATACGCGATGTAATTGCATTCCCCAAGTCCTTGAATGGCCGGGATCCGCTCTCGAATGCCCCAGTGCCCATTTCCGACGAGGAAATGAAGCTTTACCACCTTTCGGTGGCGGAGGAGGAGGTCAGCACAAATAACTCAGCGCACGAACAGGAGGACGACGATCCCGACCAGGAGCGTGCTCCGCCGTCGCCAATGTCGGGGACTAGCGATACCGAACAGCCAGAAATGGAGGTGGACATTAAAACAGAGCCGGTGGAGGAATCCGTACAGCAGGAGGCGGAGACTGAGCCAGATCAGCCGTCACCAGTTAAAGAGCCAAGTAAAGAAGATTCCGCCGCTGAAGAGCCTCCGCCGGCTGAGCCAGCTCCGCCAGTGCCAGCGCCCACCCCCACCAGGGCCAGACGGGCTGTTAAGAAGAAGGTCTAGAGGTCTGTAGCCTTCACTAATATTACGGTAAGGGATTAGCATTTTACACATGTAAGCTCAGTCAGTAGTCAGGACGGAGAATAATAGCGCAGAAACAAACCAGTCAACACAGCAAGAAAAATCATAGCAGTCGGGTCGGTTCCATTAACTCGCGCTTACCCTTTTATACATTCATATTATGTATTCGCAAAGGCAATATATGTACCCACCACACCGGATCTTGTCGCCAGATTGTAATACCCGAACCTAGGACGTAGGACATCCCGGCATGCCAACAAGCCGACCCGACTGACCTGGCAACATTCTACAAGTCCATTTCGAATTATTATGGCAACCCACAAATTACAATTTATGATATAAACAAATCATCGGCCATTATAATCAGAATGTTTTAAGTATGCAGCGAGTTTGAATAATATTGTTTTCACAATAATCTGATTAACGGTAATCGGCTGTTTTGAACTCAATTATTATAGCTACTATTTAATTAATTTATGTACTATTGATTAAAATGCAATTGTATTAAACTGAACACCATTGAATTGTATGCGGAAATACCTAATCCTCTGAGCAGTGCATCTTTTGTTCAAGAATTGTCCGATTTGTACGTACATAATTTCCGCGTTGTATTTCGATTAAACACATTTAACCCGCAAGAAACAAATAAAGCAATAATATCGGAACATCAGTTATAGCGCGGTAGCAATCTAGCCAAAGTCTCCTTTGTCCTTTCATTTATACTGATTTACTATAATATATATTGGTTTGAAACGCACTAGATTTGTAATTATGAATGTCAACTTATGCGATGCTTATTTATTAGTAAGGAATGGGGGCAAGGAAGGTGTTTTAAAAGCTGGAAAGCATCGATTGAGGCTAATTTAATGTGGGCACAGCAAATATGTTATTTTCTATGAAGCCATAGGTGAGGTTCCTCCGGTAGTCCCACCAGCTTAGTGATGGTGCCTGCGTACTGAGGTGGCGGTCATCGGGATCGGCGAAATCAACAAGATCCTGCTCCTCCACAGAGTCGTCATCGACGTTTTCCTTCTGCTCGGGACTGAAGCTGGTCCAATGCTCATATGGATCCTGATCCCCGTTGGGAGACATCTGCAAGTTGTTGAAGTTGGCCGTCAGCTTGCCAAACTGATCGATGTGCTGAAGTAGTGGGTCCACGCCCTGATTTGCCGGTGCTGACAACTTCTGGGGAGGAGCCCTCAAATGTGGATTCTTAGCTCCAAGGGTGGGTAAGTCAGTCCATTTTCCCAGCGCAAAAGGTGAACTATCGTTAGTGTCTATCATGAACATGCCTCGAGTCGTGGGACGTATATTGTCTCCGGCCTCAAGGAGAAAATTGGTTGGAGGACACATTCCCAGCAGATAGGAGATGTACCCGCTGCAAGCCCAGCCCCAGAAACCTTTGGGAGAGCGAATGGACTCCAGGAAATAGGCAGGCGCACGCTGATGACTGCAGGCAAAGGAATCTGTATAGGAGAACCATATTAATTGAGAGCTAAATATAAATAAATTAATCAAACTCACTTATCTTCTGGCCACTGCATCCTGGTTGCATGATTCCTCCGTTCATATAAAAGTCGGCATGACCACATCTCTCCATTTTTCCCTGGACCAAAGCGTTTGTGTGAATCACATCCACGTAGCTGGCATCGCTAGGGTCAAGCTTATCTGCAATTCCGGAGGTGATAAACAGAGGCATAGCTGGATCCAAGCCCGTAATCCTGGGCAGCATGAATGAGCTCAGATTTCGGGCTATATAGTTTGGCACTTGAGCCCCCAGTGAGAAGCCAATTACATGGATATCCGTGTTTCCCGTATCCACCAGGCGTTCCACCAGCTGCGCTGTACAGGTGCCCGCATGTCGGGTGTTGTGAACGGCACTAATATAGCATGGTCCTGGCGACAGGATACTCCAGTCCACATAGATGATATTATAGTCTGCCTTGGCCAGGTATTCTGCCAAAAGTTATTAATAATTAGTAATGATAATTTTATTAGATCACACTCCCTTACCATCTCTCATTTGCTGCAGGGGATGCAGAAACATATCCGAGTTGTAGCCATGGATAATGATCTTGGTGGGATATCTGGGATTGAAGTACGAGGCAGTGAGATTGGACTTCTCCAGGGATTCGTCTATATGCAGGCACTGTCTGTCCATCGGATTGTGGCGCGTGTAGATATAGTATTTGACATCCGGATCGGGACAGCTGCGACCTATGGCCCACTTGCAGGGTCCGATGGTGATGTCCCTGTTGGAGGGCGTCGATGGAGCAGATGGTGCTTGAGTAGTGGGACTCTCTGTGGCATCCACATCTATGTGAATGGGTTTCAAGTTCACGAATCCTCGGCATACAACATTTGGAACAAAACACACTGAGAAGAGTTGAAGAAAGATTTGTATGCCCTTGCAGGGTATTCTTATTTTAGTTAAAAGTTGGCAAACGCAAAAATTCTAAATTTTTTTAATTTAAAACTGAGTATGCATATTAATTAACCTTATAGAACCTAACAAAGAACAGTTTTCCGAATTGAAATAAATGCTTTTTTAACTTAGTTATGATCAAATACTATTTACACCAGTGCGTATGCGTAAATTTTTGGGCCTGTTTACGAAATCTATTTTTTATACACTTGCAAGGATTATAATATTGTGAAGGAGTCATTTCCGACTTTATAAATCATATATATTCTTGATCAGCATGCCTAGGAGAATCGATGTAGCCATGTCCGGTGCGAAAATGATTTTTCGAAATTTATTCAATTTAAAAAAAAAAGATAAGGGGTTACATCGTTAATATTTTAAAAAATCAGCAAAAATTCTAGTTTATTTAAATGTAGATTTTTTACCTTATAAAACCCAACACAGAACAGTTTTCCGAATTTAAATTAATGCTTTTTTTGGCTTAGTTATGATCAAATATTATTTACACCAGTGCGTATGCGTAATTTTTTTGGGACTGTTTACGAAATCTATTATTTATACACTTGCAAGGCTTATAATGTTGTGAGTCATTCCCGACCCTATAAATCATTTATATTCTTGATCAGCATGACTAGGAGAATCGATCTAGCAATGTCCGGTGCGAAAATTTTTTTTAGATTTTTGCAAAAAAAAGATAAGGGGTTACATCATTAAAATTGTCAAAAATCAACCAAAATTTTAATTTTTAATTGAGTATGCAGTTTTATTGCCCTAATAAATACTAGCATAGGAAAGCTCTCCAAATTGAATTTAATGGCATAGTTATGAGTTTTTGAAATTTTGATTTTCCAAAAATTTTTATATTTCAATTATGATTGATTCAAGCTTATTTAATGGCAACGGTTGGTGTAAACAAACTTCCGGTTCCCTTTTTGTTAGAAGTAATTACAATCGATAAAACCCATATAAGTTAGCTTATTTTTTGTTTTATTATGGGATTATGGGGATTTTCTGGACTTACTCACCTACAACTAGGTAACCAATTACACACCGCCAGGGCATTTTGTGTGGTCTCTGATGAATGGATCCAGTTTATATTGACAGCTGCAGTTCCAACTGATTCAAAGCAATAATTTAAATTGAATTTCTTTGCCAGTAATATGAAGTGTTCGGAATGGAAACATTGGAGAAACTGAAGGCCGGCTGGCCAAGGCAAGACAATTTTGGCCAAATCGAACTGAGTATGGGTAAGTGATATGCAAATGAGTGAGTGCTTTCCTGGTAGTGTGCGTTTGAGTCATAAAGTGTGGCTATAAAGTGAGAGTTGCGGGTGGAAAAGTGAAACCGAAACGGGAGCTCTATGAAAATATCAAAATTAAACTATGCCAAGATCGTGGAACGCGTAGAATAATAACAGTTTTATTTCTTTTTACTTAAGATGCATTTCAAGAACACCAAAATTCTGTTTATAGTCTCAGACACTTATATGATTTGTTTACACACACGTCTCCGGGCAAAAACTCATAAATGCATTTACACAACACTTACTCACTCAACAATAACCACTCATTGAAATATATACACTTGCCTACGTGTTTGCGGTTTTAAGTGTCAGCCGAATGCGTTTACTGAATGAAAACTTTTTGTTGTCATTTACAAGTGATCTTCGCTCACGTACAAAGGCGAATGTTCGCTGGTCTTTTGCATTTATAGGAATGCCGTGGCCTGAACCAGAATCTCTTACCTTTATTGACTCGAACTCGTTCCGGAGACCCACATAGATAATTTAGCATTATTTCCCGACCCGGCTCAATAAAAACAAACTGGAAGCAAGGTGAGGAAAATAAACATACCATATATATTCATAAATGGAGCTTTATGGCCATAATGCGGTTAAACGTTCTAAAGCCATATTCTTAAGTACTGGCCATAATTTCATACCATCGTAGAAGAACTCTGTGTTTTCCTTAAATAGTTCTCTGGAAATGTTTTAGAAGAATTTTTAATTTATTACCGGTACGTGTGTCGAGAACGCCCACGATTTTTCCTCTCGAAATCCACTCGCGACGAGGCAATATATACACAATATTTGGAATCTATATGTGCATATTCTATAATCTGTTCTATGGAATGTCAAGCAAAATACAAATTGATGATCAAATGGATGGACATTTCCCGCCTCTGGCTTTAAACGAGCGACATGTGTGCCTTTGATTGGTAATATTGTCAAAACTATTAAATTATTTATAGTGAATTTTCCTATGTAAACCTCATAAAATTCTATGAAGATTGAGAGAGAGATATTTACAATTTAATTAGAAATTTGTAGTCATGGGACTCTAAGCAATATGACGGCATTACCTATAATAGTAAATTCAAATTTATTCATATTCATTTCATTTTGCTTCTAATTTAAATATTTTCTAATCCAATAACTTATTCACACATATTAATCATACATCTGGCTGAAGGATTCATTGCCTTATCAGCTCTGCATTTGAATGCTTCTTGGAACTCTGGCATATTCATATATCCCCTGTTCAGTTGGGCTGCAAAGATGTAAGCCTGGCGATTACACAGCTGCTGGGCCACCGCATAGAAGAGCACCCTCTGGGGATCCAAGCCAAAGTATTGCAGGACAAAGGTTTCCGCAAAGGCGAATCTCTCACCCTGTAACCAAAAGCGATAATCTCGCAAAGATGTCTGAAACGAGCGATGAAAGTGGAAGATCTCCTTGATCTCGTGAAAACTTAAAGGTCGATAAATTGGAGCCAATTCGGCATCAAAGTGCTGCAGAGATTGTCTCTCGAGGCAGTCCAAAGCGGTGTAGCTACCATCAGTATCCAGCAGAAGTCCTGACTGCCTCCAAAGCTCCAATCCCTGAGTGGCATAGTAGTGATAGGTGGGTCGATACAGCGAAAGCAGAACGAAGTGAAGGAAATGCCTGAGAAAATAGGCAGGTTGATTCACATCCTCCTCATCTATAAAGACGGATTCGAAGCTATGACGTAGCTGAGCTCGTCTGAGCAGCAGAAGATTGTCATGAAATGAGTTCGCTTTGAATCCCAGTCCCCTATAGCTTTCGTTCAGTTCAGTTATATTTAAATAAAGTTGAGCATGAGCCTGAAGGATGCGAGCCACCTGTAGCTCCTTTTTTTCAACAGAAGCTGGCAACAGATGACCATACCAATCCCTTTTGGAGAGAGTTGATCTCCTTCGTTGCTGAAAGCGAGTAGTATGAAGTTGGTAGGAGGCCAAGGCCACTTCTCTGCTCAGGTGAGAACTCAAAACATGCCATTGCCAGTATTCCGCATGCAATAACCTCTCAAACTCCTCTGATACCCTGTAGCAATCTGGATAACGAAGGTGCTCCTTGGCCTGCCACAACACATAGTTGTAAACTATGCGAGGCTCCGTTTGCCTCAAGACTTCCCAAGCCATTGAGATCTTCTCCACATCCAGGGGAAACTTTCGAGCCCTTTCCAGCTGCTCCTTGGAGAAGTTCAGGAAGCCAAAAAAGTGCTGAAAATACTCCATTGTATTCTCATCCAGCAGAAGCTGCTCTTGGCCAGGACTCGCTGTGGTAGTCCTGTCCTTTCTTGTCAAACTCCTGGCCAGCGGTAGTTCTCCTCTCATTCCACGACACAGAATCCTCATCTCGTGGGAAATTAGGTAAGAAATGTGGTGATGACGACCCTCCATAACATCTGAGAGACTCATCTGGAAACCCTCCATACTGGGACACGGCAGGTTCTCCAATGGGGCCACATAAATTGTTTCCTTAGCAAAATATATGTGTAGTAAAGTGGGCACACCATGAGCTGCCAGTTGAGCCGACAGAGCGATCCAATTGAGCTGTCCATTAAGTTGTCTTCGTTCCCACTGATGCTGGAGGAAAGGCCAATTGGTGAGGACCGCTTCATGCCTCGCGAGAAAGGGTATCTCCGTCAGCAGACTCTCCCAGTGAGTAGAGGGTGGATTTACACTGAAAACATTGCTCTGCCCTCTCTGTCGACACTCCGTATATAATTGCGAAATCAATCGTCCCGGGAGAGTCTGGAAATTGGCCACCTGAGCAGCAAAGAAGCTCATCCTATCCTGTTTATTGTACAGATAAGGAGGCAAAGATTCCTCTGGATCTTCCTCCAAAGCCTGATCGAAATTTCCGCAAGCATGTGCGTAGAAGTCATCACATGGATCCAAAGAATCATTCTTGATTTTCACCATTTGTCGCAAATTGCTCTTGTAGAGGTGGCTAAAGAACTGGCCCGATTCGATGTCCGATTCCGTTTCCGTTTCACTTTCTCCTTCCGTATTATCCGTAACGGAGTATGGATCATTTTGAGATCTCACTAAATTAATTACTATAGCTAGCAACGCCAACTGAAGCTTCCAATGCATTTTATTCTGATTTTATTGTGGTATTCGTCCGCTCGTTTGTTTTGTTTCGCAAAAACTGCGCAAAAATTTCGTCTTACTCGGACTCACTCTCTAATGGGAGATGATAAGGCTCGGATTGAGCTAGAATATATGTATACTCTAGATTCTATCGCCATGCTCTTAGTTCTCTTTGCACTCTCCTGGTTTCATTCTAGAATTCGCCTTGACCTTAAAGACTTTTGCAATTGTGTTTTGCTTTTGCTTGCTGGATGAGGAGACGAACTTTGTTTATAGATATGGATTATTATAGGTTTTTGTTTATGACTTTGATGTGTTTTTGAAATGGGAATTTCATATTTATACCCTTTCAGGGTATTATAATTTTAGTCGTAAGCTTGAAATGCAGTGAAGAAGTCATTTCCTATCCCATAAATCATATATATTCTTGATCAGAATTAACAGCCGAATCGATCTAGCTATGTCCGGTGCGAAAAAACAAATTTTGAATTTTTTTCGATTTTTGCAAAAAAAAGATAAGGGTTACATTATTAAAATTGTCAAAAATCGACAAAAATTTTAATTTTTAATTGAGTATGCAGTTTTGTTGCCCTAATAAAAACTAGCATAGGAAAAGTTTCCGAATTGAAATCAATGCATTTTTGGCTTAGTTATGCTTTTTTTTTTTTTTGTTTAATTGTCATATATATATTTCAAATATTTTAAGATTAGTAATGATCGTTTGCCAATTCGATCTTATAGCTGAATTACAAACTATAAGGGTATAAAAACTTGGGTTTTCTGAACTTTATTTCCTTTCTTGTTTAATTAAAAACAAACGTGCAGTTTAGAACTGCGGCAAGGCAAGTCCTATTTTAAATGGGAAAACTCGCATAAATAAAATTTAATAGCTTATTGATGTTAAATGCTACATTACTTGTTAAATTTAAAATTTAAAATGCATATTATATTACAAGAAAAAGAGTGTAAAAACCAAGTTTGCAAGCCTCACAAATCTAGAGAAGCTTACTATGTCCCACAAACATTACGTATACGCAATGTGGTCACAGCTGCATTAGTTCAAACACACCTAAAACTGCTCGCTTTGAAAACAAATTGTTCCACTAGAAAATCTCTTATTTGTTTAATAGTTTATTCTGTGAATTTTTAATTGTATATTAATATTAAATATTACACTATTTGTTAAATTTAAAATGTAACATTTGTATTATATTTCATGAAAAATTAATACCTAGAAAATTGTACAAAATTCATGTTCGCAAGCTTCACAAATCTAGAGAAGCTTACTATGTCCTACAAATATTACGTATACGCAATGTGGTCACAGCTGCATTAGCTCAAATACACCTAAAACTGTTCGCTTTGAAAACAATTTGTTATTCCATTAGAAAATCTCTTATTTTTTTAGGGAAATGTTTATTTTAAGGCACAAACATTCTGTGTTTGCCGCAATCATTTCAAGGCTCTTATTCTGATTTCATCAATGGATGAGTTCAAGCGAACGACATTTCATCAACCTGTACATAATTGTTTTGGTCATTAGAACCATTACTTGTATATATATTTGTGTCACATTTTTGGCGTTTTTTTGCGCCATCTGCGCATTGCATTTTCAAATTGACTTAATGACAAGTGTCAGCTTAGGGAAAGTGTATGTTTTTATTTTCTTTAGAAAAGTCATGGACCCGAAATGTGCGACACTTGTTTATGAACATTTTGTGGTGGTATTTATATGTACTCAGAGGGTAGAATGGGGTTGAATTGGGGTATGTTTTACTTTCTGTTAAATTTAATAGTTCATTGAGATCAAGGTATTTTAATTTAAGAGAGAAATAGCTGAAATTCTTAATTTAAAATGATTTATATACACAATGATACCATACATTTCTTCCTCCCTAGCTCGTTCATTAGCACTTGCGGAGATTCCAAAAATACTGTCAATAATTTCAGGGCGAATGTTTTGGGTTTGTATTTTTTTCAAAAAATGGAACAAAACTTGGGGATACAGAAGAACTATATAGTAGATGCGTGTATTATTTTTAATGAACGCATTGTTATTGTTGGGGGTTTTGGCTTCAGATCCGGCCAGCGGCTGCTCGAAAACTGTCAAAATGTGCGCCGTAGATTTATTTTATTTATTTTCGATGTTATTTCGACGCGACTTTCCAAAAAGTCTGCACTTTCTGCCTCAGTAGTGGCATCTCATTTTGGCCAATGGGACAAAATATTTCGCTATATATCCATAAACACCCATACAATCACGCTGCTATATCCACACTTGTCAGGTCTTTTCCAACCGAGTGTGTATGAATGTTCGCAAGTCCGCTAAGTATTTCATCTATATCCCGATTCGTGGACGGGCGAACGATTTTAGTTGAGCCAAAGGCTTTCAGCAGTTAGTAGCCCAAAAAATTGTGTCTTCCCCAGCGGACAGAAAAAAGCAAAAGGTAAACTTGGCTGGCAAAGAAGTGCATAATTTACCTGAAAGATCCCCCCATCGAAATGCTATGAATTTCGGAAATTCGCATTTAAATATCGAATTCAAGTGTGCCGTGCTCATAAATATTTCTTCAGCCGTGTTCTTTTCAATTTTTTAAAGTTGGAACGGGTCCAATCTATAAAACTGGAATTATTTCAATCTATATAGACGTTGTGTTCTTTGATTGCTCTATCAGCAAATACAAAGAGAACGGAATCATCAAATAGATATAACCAGACGTAGGAAAACCAAAAGAATTTAATATTTCCCATATGTCTTTGATATCGCTCTCTCTGTTTCGAGTTTATATAAACATCTATACTTATACATGTTCGGATTTTATTTGATTAGCTTATTTTAAAACAAAATCATATGTGTTTCTGCAGAATTTATTGCCACCTTTTTTATCTTTCTATCAAATTAAACTTCTCACGCGCCAAATGAAAATGTTTTTTTTTTTTAATATATCTCATGTATATGTAATGCGAAGGAATTTTTGAATAATTCAACCTTCGCCTGGCTGAGTTCCAAAATTAATACTAATGACCGCTTCCCTCTGATTTCTCTGCAGCAAATTCAATCAATATGAGCGAAGCCCAGAATCTGTTTACCACCTTCGGCATCCTGGCCATCCTCCTTTTCTTCCTTTACATCATCTATGCCGTATTGTAGAATGTTAGGTCCTGCAGGAGGTCCTTAGAGCAGGATCCAAGGTAAGATAAACTATGGTTAGAATTATATTTATTTATAAATGGAGAATCGAACCTTCGTAGCTATTGATGAGGACAATATCTTCGATCTTATTCATTCAATCAATTACTTTACTTATTTAATTTTCCCTTTAAATCAAATGAAATGCTACATTTTGTTTATAAAATTCTCTTGGCATTGTACTATATTTCTTGGTTTGCCATTACCCCATTTTCCCATTGATTTTACTTGAAACGAAATCGACATCAATCCCAATCCTTGAAATGCTCATTAAGATCAAAATGTGCCATAAACTCAATGGGGGGCTACGTGACCGATGCCCAAACGTTTCAGATTCTTTCAATATCTGAAAAGATTTCAAACAACAAACCTGACCAAAGCCATTTGGCAATTGCAAGTAAATAAATATGTTATGTTAATCAAACAAACAAACGGGCTGGAGCGAAAACATCTCCCCCGGACCAGCCACAGAAACAACAAAAAATAAAAATAAATAAATAAAAGCGACTGAATTAATTTTTCAAATGACAAGGTCCAGTCAGAGAATGGCAATTTGTCTAGGTGCAGTCCAGCCAGTGAATTATGGCCAAAGAACACACAGAAAAATGAACTAGAATCCCATGGAATCTGCATATATATATGCATATATCCAAAATATATATATATGTTTGTCTATGCCGAACTATAACCCGTATATACTTTGCATACATGACTCTAGAAAATATTTGTGCCGCGGCAAAAAATATGAGCAACAACTGGACACCAACACAAAGGCAGAATAGCCGGCGCTGGTATAGATATATAAATGAATTTTTTTATATATCGCCTATATAAACTGGATGTATGTGAATGCGTGCGGGTGGCGGCTGGGCATAGCCATAATTCCAAGCGCTGGCCAACATTTCGTGGAGAAGTGGCAACAGATCGGAAAATTCAGCTTCTCAGTTATTGCGCGCCTTTAGCTACGAACGGTTGGAAATCTCTCCAAAAAGAAAAGCCCCTGTCCTTCCTTGCAAGTGTGTGTTTGTGATCCGTGATCGATCGATCGATCGGTCAATCTGCATTACCTAATCCGCATTATCCCTTGTCATCGATAGCAACCAGCAGCAGCCAACGCATCCAAAATGAATGAAGCCAGAAGTCTGATCACCACCTTCGCCATCCTGGCCTTCCTGCTGTTCCTGCTCTATGCCTTCTACGAGGCCGCCTTCTAGACCACAAGCCACCCCCTCACCACCCACCCATCAATCAATCAGTCAATCAAGGATAGCTTACATGTTGAATTTCAATTCCAAGTCCCGCCACATCGTGTCCAGCCTTAACATCCGGTGGCCTATGGCGGGGCTTTTAGGACCCTCTACGCGTTTAAGATGTTTAGCATTTAATGGATTTCTACTAGTAACCTAAGCCAGGTGAGTAACACAACCCAGAGCCCGGGCCCCAATTAATTCAATTAGCCAGCAGGCACATCAAAAAAGGAATGAATACATGCTTATATTTTATAAAAATCTTAAAGAACGCGCGCATTGCGAAACCTTGACAAAAATCTCAAAGCGTTCGTCGAAAATTTTTTGGCAGCCATTTGGCAGCTCGATAATAATTTTCCAAAGTGAAAAAATAGATTCTGTGGTTCTATTTTTAACGACAAGATTTCGACATGGCCCACTAAACACCTTCCTGTCGTCGGAGCCCCCTCCCTTGAGAACATTCAAAATCGCTTTCACACAGAACATTTTCCGAATGTCGCAACTCTGTGATTCAAATTTGCGCCCGAAACTTTTCACGATCTGCGGTGCACACACAGTCATAGAAATTTTCAAAGCGTCAGTGTTTTTTATGGCCAGAATTTATGATTGGCTAAGGTGGGGATATTATAATTATACATTTTATTAAATGTTTTCGAATATATCGCACAGTTTGATAGATAAGCCAAAAGGCAGATGCTTCTTTTTATCTTGGCCAAGTCAACATGCGCACTTTTTGCGGTTAAAATCCCTCCCTGAGTTATATGTTGTCGAACCCAAAAATAAATTTCAAAGAAGCTTATTGTCTTTGGAACAAACAACGCAATTGTTTATGCCACTTGAGCAAACAAAAGCGCAAATAGAATATATGCTTTCCTTTAGGGAAAACAAAAAAACCCTAATTTCTATTTTATAATCAATAAATCGATCTGCTTAATGGACGATTATTTTATAAATTGAGTTCAGCAAATAAATAATTGACTAATGCACAATTGCAGATGACGTCAAAGCCACCAGCTGCTACCAGATCGGAGGCTCGCCGGCATTATATTAGGATCATGATCACGATCACTTAGGTGATCGATGGACAACCCCTGCCGAGTGGTGAGTACGATTAATCACGCTCCCCTGGATGCGCTTCAATTGAATATTTCCCTTCGTTTTTCTCCGATTTGTTTTTCCTAGTGCTGCGCTAGATTTCCACCATCCATCGAGGCGCTGCAAGACCGATCCATCCGATTCCGCGGTGATCTGCTGCCGAGGCCTTGGCGTCATCTGTTCTAATCATACATTTTAGTTTTGTGATTTCTTCATTTTTGTTTCGCAATGGAATTCACATAGTTTGCAAATTTATAGACCATGATGTACAGTATAAGCAAAACAGCAGCAAATCAATGTGAGAGATCAGAAAATTGGTTATTTCATTGTTGGACAAAACAAGTTTAGTTCGCATTCATATTTAGTAAGACATACATAATGTATAACTGCATTTTACCCCACTCTTTTCTTTTAATTTTATGTGACTAAAAACACATGCAGAACAACAGCAAAACAAACAACATCAACTGCAGGAATAAAAGAAACAAAAAAAAAAAAAACACAAATCTTAAAATGTCGTTTTAATTGGAGACTTTAAATATATTTTAGCGGATTATGGGGCATCTAGTTAAGTTTGTTGTTAAGTATAATAAGTGAAAGTTTTGTATACTGTAGTTTATTTCATCTGAAAATGGATGGGCTTGTTTTTGACAAATCAAACTAAACAAAGTTGAGGGCATACTTTTGGGCATTGAATTATGGAAAATGGTTTTGTAAAATGTTTAAAAAATGTTCATAGAAAATGCATAAATGTTTTTACATCTTCAAACTTAAAGGTATTCATTTGTTCAGAGAAATTTTGTATTCAACCACTATACAGATGTCTATTGATAGAGGCTTGGCAAGTTTAGAGAACTTCTTCAATGATAAAATTCTGGTTTAGTAATTAATTTTTAATCTTCTGTTATAGTAATCCCTGTTTATGATTTTCATTTAATTCTTACTAATAACAAATACTCCTACCTTTATTTCAGTAATAAATAGATAGTATTAAAAACACATTGTAAAGTCATATTGTACTCTATAGTGTCAGTGTGAGACCACAAGTACTTAAGCTTCATTTGCATTACGACCTGGCCTATAACTACCTTGCAAAAAAACTAATAAATGGGCTAAGCCAAAATCGTAAATGGAAACAATGCTGAAAATAACGAAAAGTGCAGGCAGGCAATGAAGCGAAGACATCGTCATAGCAACTGTTTTGGCGGCTACCATCTGCCGTTGGCCGATTCGCCTTTTGGCCGTTTTGTCGGTCAGCAGCTTCGCGCGCTGGCCAACCGGTTTTATGGCTAAAAACCGTCAACACCCCCTTGGCCAATCCTCCGCACACTGCAACCCCTCATCAGGAAGCTAAATTGCAGCGGTTATCCAATCCGGCAGTGCTTTATGCATTTTGGCAATTGATTTCGCCAGCCGGTTTTTATGTACAACCTTTTGTTTTGTTTTTATAGTATTTTATTTTATTTTTTCTTGACTTTTTACAAAATTCATTTAATAGTTTAGGCCTTAAGACTAAGAACCAAATATTTACATGACCCATGGTGACCCAAGCTTAAGCTGCTACAGCAATCCCAGTTTTTGTTGCTTCTGCTGGAGGGCCTCAATCCTCAGGCGCTTGAAGAGCTGATGGCCCAAGTAGGTGCGGATACGCAACGGAGCCATCTTCATGAAGAAGTACTGTAAATAATAGGGATTTATTTTATATATTGTTAGTCCTACAATAAGTTATTGCACACCTGTATGCCATGTGTCCAGAACCCGTTTGTCTCACTCGTTTTTCCCAGTGTAAAAACAGCTGAACGCGCAAAGGTATAGGCATTGGGAAATAGAAGACCGCCTTGCATCACCCGATCGGCGTAGGCGTTCATCTTGGTAACCACAAAATTGGGCATCACCAGCTGCACATGGATGTTGTGCTCCTCCAGTTCCAGCTCCAGAGCCTTGGTGAAATAGGTCACAAACTTCTTGCTGGCGGCATAGACGGTCATGTTGGGCAAAGGCTGCAGTTCCGAGGAGGATCCCAGGTTGACAATGGCTCCCCTCCGGCGTCCTATCATCTGGGGCAGGATCTTGCGGGTGAGCATGGTCACGGATCCCATATTAACGGTCAGCAGATCCCATAGAAGCTTCTCTGGCACCAGATCCAGGCTGTCTGGGTGCTCGTACATCATGCCCACATTGTTCACTGCAAAGTTTAAGGGGTAAGTGATATTAATTTCGATTTAAGTGAGTCACTAACTAAACTCAAAGTTCGATTTTTATCAATTAAGCAAAGCGCCTTCACAAGGCACAGGCAAATTATAAGCTCTTTATTTTTATAGCAAGCTAGATAAAAGTTATCGTGACGAATAAATTCCCATGACCAAGATCAATGTCAACTGTTATCAGGCAAAATATTTTGGTGGAAATGCCTTGAGGCGAGCGCAAGGTCTCTTTCTCGAAATGTAAATTGCTGAAGCGCGTCAGACTCTGAAGCGTTTATGAGTCTGGCCGGGCGAATAAAATGTATATAGATATGAGTATGTATGAACGAGATGTACTTGAACATCGCCTAAGCCATTCTTCGCCTCGCCAATAGACCAAAAACCAGTCATTATAATTGCACGCAATTACTACTGTTTGACATTGACATCCGCACAAACAAAATAAGAGTCACAATAAAAAGACAAATAAAAAGCTTGCTACTGCTGATTGCCGTTTGCCACTGTGTTTACAATGATGAATGTACAATATATACATTTGTTTAAAAAATGATTTTTAGTTGCAAAACTTCTACGATTAAGCAACCAAGAATTGGTAATGTGTCTTGTACTAAAATTAATAAAATCCATAGATTTTGACTTAAGGAATGCGAATGTTGTAAGCATTGTTATGAACAAAATTAGTTTCCCTTCTTATTTAATATATGTATGTTACATTATTTAGTTATTCAATTATATTAAGTTTTGGTTATTAAATGAAAAACAAATTTTCTATTTTCTAACTCACCCAAAATGCCAACTTCAATGCCAGCCAGTTCTTTCTCAATCTGATCGTATATTTCTATTCCCTTGGTGAAGTCCACTGCAATCCACTTCGTCTTCACTTTGTACTGACTCTCTGAAGATTTTAATTCAATATTAAATAAATACTATAGACTTGTGCGGATTATGAAGTAGAGCTTACCAATCTCGTTGGTGGTGGCGATGAGCTTCTCCTTCGTCCGCGAGATGAGCACCAAGTTGAGACCTTGGCGGGCCAGCTCCCTGGCATATTCCTTTCCAATGCCATCGGTGGCGCCCGTCACCACTAAAGTGAAGGGAATCCAAGGAGAACTTGATGAGTACAATCGAAGGTTGCCAAAAGGAGCGGAAACCGCATTTTTTTACAAGCGATGAGAAAACATGAAAACATTGGTGAGTTAAAATAAAGTTCTTTTGAAATTGAAGAACATTGTATTCAATTAAAATACCCATTAGTAAATTTGATTAACCAACAAGCAGTTTAGGTAGGGGAAATGAAATAGTTTCAAGATAAGCACACGTACTTTAAAATGTTAAGAATACATAGATGCCAAAGGTTTTCTATGTCTTGTCTATTCAGACATAATATTCAATTATAATTTTATTCAGAAGCTTCGAACCCATCGAAGGAGTCATTTCCGACCCTATAAATCATATATATTCTTGATCAGAATTAATAGTCCCGTCGAAAAAAACATTTTGAAAATTTTTTTTGTTTTGCAAAAAAGGTAAGGGGTCATTAAAATTGGCAAAATCGACAAAAATTTTAATTTTTAATTGAGTATGCAGTTTTGTTGCCCTAATAAAAACTAGCATAGGACAGGTTTCCGAATTGAAATAAATGCATTTTTGGCTCACTTATGAGATTTTTAAAAATTGATTTGATGACAAATTGTCATTAAAAATATTGACTCAAGGAAAAGTATTATAAGTTATTTCAGAAGCTTGTAGAAATGCGAGGGAGTAGTTTGTGAGTAAATTGAGTATACAGTTTTATTGCCCTTATAAAAACTCGCATAAAAAATGTTTCCGAATTAAAATGAATACTTTTTTGGGTTAGTTATGAATTTTTTAAAATTAGATATGTTGACAAAATCGTCATTTAAAATATTGACTCAAGGAAAGGTATTATAAGTTAGTTCAGAAGCTTGTAGAAATGCAAGGGACTAATTTGCGAGTGAATTTAGTATGCAGTTTTATTGCAGTACTAAAAACTCGCATAAAAAATGTTTCCGAATTAAAATTAATTCATTTTTGGGTTAGTTATGAATTTTTTAAAATTTGATTTGTTGACAAAATCGTCATTTAAAATATTGACTCAAGGAAAGGTATTATAAGTTATTTCAGAAGCTTGTAGAAATGCAAGGGACTAATTTGCGAGTGAATTTAGTATGCAGTTTTATTGCAGTATTAAAAACTCGCATAAAAAATGTTTCCGAATTAAAATTAATTCATTTTTGGGTTAGTTATGAATTTGTTAAAATTAGATATGTTGACAAAATCGTCATTTAAAATATTGACTCAAGGAAAGGTATTATAAGTTATTTCAGAAGCTTGTAGAAATGCAAGGGACTAATTTGCGAGCGAATTTAGTATGCAGTTTTATTGCAGTATTAAAAACTCGCATAAAAAATGTTTCCGAATTAAAATAAATTCATTTTTGGGTTAGTTATGAATTTTTTAAAATTTGATTTGTTGACAAAATTGTCATTTAAAATATTGACTCTAAGAGAGGTATTATATGTTTAGTCAGAAGCTTTTAAACTGTGAAGAAGTTATTTCCGACCCTATAAATCATATATATTCTTGATCAGAATTAATAGATGAATCGATCTAACTACGTCCCGTCGAAAAAAAATTTTGAAAATTTTTTCGATTTTTGCAAAAAAAGATAAGGGGTTACATCATTAAAATTGGCAAAAATCGACAAAAATTTTAATTTTTATTGAGTATGCAGTTTTGTTGCCCTAATAAAAACTAGCATAGGACAGGTTTCCGAATTGAAATAAATGCATTTTTGGCTCACTTATGAGATTTTTAAAAATTGATTTGATGACAAAATTGTCATTAAAAATATTGACTCAAGGAAAAGTATTATAAGTTATTTCAGAAGCTTGTAGAAATGCGAGGGAGTAATTTGTGAGTAAATTGAGTATACAGTTTTATTGCCCTTATAAAAACTCGCATAAAAAATGTTTCCGAATTAAAATGAATACATTTTGGGTTAGTTATGAATTTGTTAAAATTAGATATGTTGACAAAATCGTCATTTAAAATATTGACTCAAGGAAAGGTATTATAAGTTATTTCAGAAGCTTGTAGAAATGCAATGGACTAATTTGCGAGTAACTTTAGTATGCAGTTTTATTGCAGTATTAAAAACTCGCATAAAAAATGTTCCCGAATAAAAAAAATTAATTTTTGGGTTAGTTATGAATTTTTTAAAATTTGATTTAACAACAAAATTGTCATTT